AAATGGTTTCAACATACATATGCTTACACTTCAAAAAAAAAATACGTGGGAATAATTATTCTAGCTTTTCTAATTTATAGTAGTTGGAAGAATAACTAAATAAATGTCATTTAGGTATGTAAAAATGAAGAATGTCGTTCGTCTGAAAAATATGGGAGGAGGGTTGTCAAGATAATCACTTAAAATAATTAAGATCGGTTGTTGAAACTTGAAAGAATAAATAAATAAATTTTAACATATCTTGACAAATCAACTAGTTAAGATGAGAGATGTATCATCATAGTTATAAGATTCCTAGCTACACACAAATCGTGGCCGATTACATATTGTCCACCATCACTCCAACACGATTAATTACACGAGGCTAACTAAATAATACTGTATCTATATTAACATTTTTGAAGTACTTTCTGGAAAATAACCTTTTATTTTGTATTATTTGCATAATAAATCATTGCCATTTAAATAAATAACAAACTTTTAAGATAAAATTTGTAATTAAATTACACGCAAAATTAGAAACTAATATTATTACATTTAAAAAAATTTCCTAAAATGTTTCCCTACTAAATTGAATATCTCTCCAATATCTTTATATGATTTTATTTGTTTTAAAATTTAAATTAGTACATAAAACATAAGTATAATAAAAATACAAAAAAATTTCCGCATATGTAGCAATTTGAATTTTTGAAAACGGACGTATATTACTCAATCGATAAAAGAAAAAACATATATGTATAACGTCTCACATCGGGTAGAAAATTTTAGACAATAGTTCGGAACCACTATAAATATGACTAATATGAAACTTAAAAATCCAAAATCTTGAATGAAAGATTACAACAAAAAAAGTTTTACTAAATTTTAGGGAATCCAAAATTTTAAAATCTTGTTTGTTAAAAATGAGTTTTTGGAAAACAAAAACTGAAATATCTCTCGAAATCTATAAAACATTCAAGGTTTATATTTTACATAAATATGATTTAACGGGTTTGAGTTTTATGTTTTTTTTACGGATTATCTTACGGGTTAACATAACAAAAAAAATAACAAATATAACTTAAACATAATTTTTTTAGTCCCGCAAATTACAAAAAAATATCCCGTGAGTTAAGTAATAAAAATAACAATCAAAAATACAATTACACTATTTTAAACACTAAAAAGGTAATAAAATTAACAAATATAACTTAAATATATATATTTTTAGTCAAAACAATCGTCCCGCGGTGTACCGCGGGTTAAAACCTAGTGTTAAGTAATTAGTTGTTTCATATTGGGTCAGGTACTCAGGTCAAATATAATTATCTACACATAGTTCATTTCCTTCAAATATATATATATATAGTATGTTTTATCCCCAAAATATTTTAAGGATTGTATTATGGTTGATTAAAATTTTGAATTAAATAACGACAATATATAGTTAATAGAAGGTCCGTATTGCCACTATGCCAATCTAGAGATTTCATTGGAATCAAATATGAAATATCCAAATGTAGTTTATATGTCAACCAACTGTGAAGAATATTTAAAAGGGTTTATTGTATCAATATTTTAGAATGATTTGTTATAATCAATGACAAATCTAGTGTTAAAAATACTCAATCAACATGTGTCCTAAAAAGTTTTCAAATGTCTGGTGATACTAAAATAGCGATTTCAAAAATTATCATGAACTCCACTATTTAGGATTGAAAAATATAAAATATGAAATGTTGATGAACTATAGGTGTTTAAGAGGATTTAATTATTTTAAATACAAAAATTTAGTTAAATTTATCCTTTTAATTGAGTTTTAAAGGATTTAACAACAAATCATAACAATTTTCCAGAAATATCAAAATCAATGTAAAACTTATTTGTCTTTAATACATAGTACATAGCATGTACATAAACGTCATCGATTTTGGAATCTTCACACAATAATATATTGTAAGGTATGGATGAAAACTTTGTTAGAAGCTGTAAACTCTAGCTTACTTGTTTTATTTATTTACTGAATTTAGTGATGTGAAAAAAACTAAGAATAGCATAAAGATTACAAACTTAAATGTGTAACAATTGACTATTGTGGTTATATAAAACAATCACCTGTATATTTTATTTTTAGCTGCATTAGTCAACTCCCTATCAGCATTTTTGTTATGAGTCAAGATTATTATATGTTTGGTTACAATAAAATCTTTCGAAAGGAAGAGATGAATCAGACGTCATTGGATATAAAAAAACAAAAACTTAGAAATTATTTATCTGATCTTATCTTTTTTTATACATCCTTTCACCAGAAGGCGTAATGCCAAACATGAAACGATTTTTGTAGACCTTTATAAGTGGGGCTTGCAACATCGTTACGAAGCAACAAACTTGATGTTGATCTCAAGAATCATATCAGAAGACTTAAACTATGCAAGGTGTCTTCTTGATCTAAAAGCTAAGGAAAACAATATTCTCTTATCACAGCTTGAAAATCAGTAGAAATTCTACGTGATATTCCAAGTTCGTTTTGGCTTTGGACCCTCCTGTCGACTGGAGCGAGCCCTCTTGGTATCCAAAACTAAAACTCGCAAGTTCCTCCTATTTCTAAGACATGAATTTCTAACACATCATTTTTAGATTAAATATCATTAAAATTACTTTTTGGTGTATTTCACTAAATATTGAATCTAGATTTGAAGAGCTTTGAGTAGACTTTAAAGATATTCTGTTTGATTTATAAGATTGTTTTCTATAATTCTAATGATTTGGTATGATTTATAGTAAAATTTTAGATGATTTTGTAGTTCTGTGTGTTATCCCACCCCACGTCATATTTTGTAGTACAGTGATAAATCAAACTAAATATATGGGATACTAAAGTAGGAGTAAATTCAATTAATAAAAATGATCCAACTTCTTTAAGAAAAATATGACGTTTCTCTTTTTTTTTTTTTAATGTATCAATTTTTGGAATTTTGTTTATTAATTTGACTACAGAAAAATAGTATTAAATATTTGTTTCAAGTATTTTATAACTTATTTATTTATTTGATGTGGTATAGAAATTTAAATTAATTTTGACTAACAGTTTTTGGAAAATTTGTAACTGATTTTAATTATTGAAAATATATAGAATGTTGAATAGTTTGGAAGAAAATTCTAAAAGTAAATCCAAATACAATTTGATGACCTTTGACCACAAAATAAGTAAACCATTAACGTGTTAGACATAAACAAGGAAAAATATCTAAATCAGTCAATAATGCAATTAAAACACACACACACACAGGATTTACCAAAGTAGCCTTACGTCAATTTGACCAAAATACCCCTCCTTCTTCAACCTCCCTGACTCCTATTTAAATCAAACTAAACTCAACAGCTCGATTCAACACAGAGCTGACGTTAGCATTTGCTCTCTCTGACCCACCGCGAAATCCAGATCCGAAAAACCCCAAAAAAATGGCGTCAGAGAACAATGGATCCAGATCCGAATCCGCCAACGCAATCCCCGAAGCTGATTCCACCGCCGTCGAAATGCCGCCGAGGAAGGTAGCTCTGATCACCGGAATCACCGGCCAAGACGGATCGTATCTGACGGAGTTCCTTCTCAAAAAAGGCTACGAAGTTCACGGCCTGATCCGTCGTTCATCCAATTTCAACACCCAGCGGATCAACCATATCTACATCGATCCACACAATGTCGACAAAGCTCTGATGAAGCTCCACTACGCTGATCTCACCGACGCCTCCTCGCTTCGCCGTTGGCTCGATGTGATCAAGCCTGACGAAGTTTACAACCTCGCTGCTCAATCTCATGTTGCTGTCTCCTTCGAGATCCCTGACTACACCGCCGATGTAGTCGCCACCGGTGCTCTCCGTCTCCTTGAAGCCGTCAGATCTCACACCATCGACAGTGGCCGGACCATCAAGTATTACCAAGCCGGATCCTCGGAGATGTTCGGATCAACTCCTCCCCCACAATCCGAGACGACGCCGTTTCATCCCAGATCTCCTTACGCGGTTTCCAAATGCGCTGCTCATTGGTACACTGTCAATTACCGAGAAGCCTACGGTCTCTTCGCCTGTAACGGAATCTTGTTCAATCACGAGTCACCTCGCCGAGGTGAGAACTTCGTGACCAGGAAGATCACAAGAGCCTTGGGAAGGATCAAGGTTGGTTTGCAGAGGAAGCTCTTCCTTGGGAATTTGCAGGCAGCAAGGGATTGGGGATTTGCAGGAGACTACGTGGAGGCAATGTGGTTGATGCTGCAGCAAGAGAAGCCAGATGATTACGTCGTGGCAACAGAGGAAGCACACACAGTGGAAGAGTTTCTCGAGGTGTCATTTGGGTACCTGGGACTCAATTGGAGAGATCATGTTGAGATCGACCAGAGGTACTTCAGGCCAGCTGAAGTAGACAACCTCCAAGGAGATGCTAGCAAGGCAAAGGAAGTGTTGGGGTGGAAACCACAAGTAGGGTTCGAGAAGCTTGTGAAGATGATGGTTGATGAAGACCTTGAGCTTGCTAAGAGGGAGAAAGTGCTTGTTGATGCTGGTTACATGGATGCTCAGCAGCAACCTTGATTTGATCAATTACAAAACAGGGATTAACATTGATCTGCTTCTATAGAGTTTAAATTTCGTTTTTTTTTTTTGCTTTGATGGCTTCTTTGTGTTTTCTTTTTTTATGTTTTTAGTTTCTTTGTTGCTTTTTAAGTTATCCAATTTGCTTTCCCTCATTGAGCTGAGGATGAAGCGCAGTGAATTTTGTATGAAAGGACAAAAGAAATTATATAAAACATTACTTTTTTACCTCTGTTCTTCTATTCATGGATCCAAAACATTGCTCAGATACTGAAAATGTGATTGTGAAGCATTCTTAGTTCAATGAAAATGTGACACACAAGTAATTAATTGCATGGACTTTGCAACCGAAAAGATTTTAAATTCACCGGAAGACAAAAGCATAAGAGCTTTCAGATGTCTGCATTACGACTTTAGTATCACCTGACTCCAAAAAGTTAGCGCACAAACAAACTTTTTAATATGATTTTTGCGATTTTACATTCGATATTGCTCAACCTCAGTCTAAGACCCAAATCAAATTTACATTTGTGTTTGTGAATGTACGTCTCACAGAAGCCACACCACTTTCAATTTAGTGCTCAGGAATGAATCACTTGGGTTTCTTTTATCTTTAATTACATAATAGAGAGCGACAAAACACTGCGTTTCCAAAGGCTAGATTTCTTAGGACGGGGTTTAAGTGAGAAGTTGAGGCCAAACATTTCCTTGGACGCCAAATCCATGTCCACGAACCCCATGAGCTTTCCCACAACAGAGGCGCTCTCTCGGACATGTTCCATATCATTGCTCTCTGACCAGAGACGATGTGCCAGTTGGAGCCGCCTGTGCTTTGTGTTCAGCCCAATGCCCCATCTCAAGAACAAGTTCTCTCTCTCTTCTTTCGTCAGTTTCTTCTGCATCAGCTGACTCAGCTTGTACCTCTCCCTGTTCAACGCCCTCAGGCTGTTTTGTTTCACGGCTCAAACAGTTATTACCCAAATACATTCTTCATCTAAACCATCTAAGAAAGGTAATGTGCTTTTGGGTGAATATATATACCTGGACATTGATGTAAGAGTGCGTCCATTTTCAATAGCTTTGCTATTGTTGGTAAAGGTTTCTCTGATGTACTTGAGCCTGCGGAGTTCGACCTCCATGTACAAGCAATCTTTCTGATCTCCTCTGAAGAGAAGGAAGAAGTAACTTCTGTGTGACAAGGAAACGTTGCAAGCATGCCATAGCTCTATTATCTCCATCTCGAGTCTCTTGAACTCCAACGGCCAGTTCAATGGCATGGTTAAATAGTCTTGTATGGGGTCAACCGCAGCGTCCTTGAAACTCTTTGTTGATCTTAAAGCCAAGAATTTTTGCTCTATCTCCTCCATCTGCCACATGATAGAGGTGATCCTCAAAATAAAGACAATATTTTTTAGGTCGTAACAAGTACAGGTAACCGAAAAGCAAGCTCTGCTTGACCAAGATAGTAAAACTAACCGAAAGATGAATTATTCGCTTGTCCCTCTGAGGAACAGCCTCTTCACCTTCGTCTTGGCTACCACTTGTCTGGCGTGCATACATATGAGATTTTGAGGGAGAAACCTGTGATCCATTCGGTGATGAATTTCTGTTATTAACACCATCTAATGTAGCTGACATTCTTTGGGTGCAGTTGAACTCTTTCTCAAACCAAGTTGCTGGCATGCTCATCCGGCTACTATGCTTTGGCAATGGCGGCCTCTTGCTGTTATTCGGTTTCAGGTTTCTTTCAGCTCTTTCATTCTGATACCATCCTGGTGGTGTGTAAGCATCTTTCTCGTACAAAGAAAAGGAAGAGCTTGTTACAAAGCTTGCTCCACAGCTTCGGCTTCTAGTAAGCCCCAAGCCTCCTGCCGTTTGTGAATCTCTCTCAAGGTGCCATGCATGAGGCTTTTCAGGAGACGGAGTGACAAATTCTTGATGTGTAGGGTCTCTTTTGAGGTTAGAAGACTGGTGAGGAAATGATTCGTCAGTACGTGACAAAACACAGCGTGGAGAGACTTTGATGGGTTCACTTTTTTCCTTTAGTTGGATAGAAGCACTACTGATTTCCTTTAGTTGGATAGAAGCACTACTGATTTCCTTTACTCTTTCATCTTCTTCTTCTTCTTCAGTTTCCGTTGCTAGTCCTAACTTCTTTGACTCTGGTACACATATTGGTAGTGCACGCACAGCCTTACACCGGTCTGGAAGCATGTTTGGCTCTGGATACATGACGATACTGGGACTCTCTGTTTCTATGCATCGCAGTTCCGTGCACGTATCTTCAGAATCTACCTCACTTGGTTCGTCCATTTCATTAAATCGTTCTTCTTGAACACGAGACTGATCTACAGATTCCCCCTTGTGAATGTGCAATTGGTTTTTACTTTCTGCCCCACGAATATTAAGTTGAACTTTAGTGAAGTTCCCAGGAGTTACAAATGGAAGGTGGTGGGCTGGACTACTTGCACCCGAATTCAACCTAAATTCTGAAAGCTGGAAAACATTCTCGTCGGAACCATGCTCGGTTGATTGTGGGGAAATCATAATGGACGCCTGCACTGATAGAGGGCTTTCTGGTGTTATATTTAGAGACTCCCATGAACTACGCACCCGCAGCTTGGGGTACTGACATCCCAGAACCACCTGGTGGAATACATAACAAGATTAAAAATGGGGCAGTTGAATTTATCATGCTTTTGGTAAAACTAAAAATGAATTTAACGTACATTAGTCTGTTCTAAGTCTGTTGATAATATCTCTTTATGTGGTGCTTCTCCAATAATATGTTGAAGATCCTCAATCCGAGAATAAGCCCGCTCTAATTCTCGTGTTAGTTGAAATAGCTCTTTATTTAGCTGTGAATAATGAAAAGAACATAAATTCTCTAGAGTGAATGGATCATGAAAAATATTTACATATTGTCAGATCACCAGTATAAATGAGCTCTCATATGGCAGCTGATTGAATGAAATTGCATTACCTTTTCGATTTGGAGGTCTTTCTCTTTCAGTAATGCTGTTGTGTCAGACACAACAAGAGCTTGACGAGGGCTGCTCAACTCATTCTCCAATTTAGCCAACTCTCTCTGTAAATGTTTAACCAGAGCTTTATCAGACATGACGACGTTTACTTGTGCATTTGTTGTCACCTCCTTCGCACAGCTTGCGAATAACAACGTGTTTCTTGATTGCTCAACGTGTATTCTTGCAGGACTCAGTGTGCAGATTATGGAAGTTCTGGCGTTTCCTCCCAAGGAAGTCTGAAGTATGCGTGTCAGTTTTGAATCTCGGAATGGTATGTGCCCATTTTTTCCTTTACTGCAGTAAGCTAGCCACATAATTTAGTAATGTAAAAAGAACACACTCAAAGACACTACACACATTAGATGTTAGTAACATCAATCTGCTAATAACTTGGTAAAGTCGCTGCTACTGGCCAAAACCCCTATGTTTTCAACTTGGTAACTCAACTCGCAAAGACAATGAAAAGCAGCTCAACCGTCTTGAAAGATAGGGAGAGAATAAAGAGCAGACGAAGGTGGCCCAAACAGGGAATTTCATTAAAGCTAAAAGTGCTACACAGGCTAACCTTAGTTTTCGAATGACAGTTCCTAGTGTTAGTAAACTTCGGTTTATATGACCACCTTCTTTCAACCTTGTGCCAGCTGATAATGATTGCGATGCACGTTCACTTCCAGCAAGATCAATGAAATTCTGCAGGATAATTAGTTAATCTATGAATCTTTTGTTTTAGAACAATACAAGATGTAAGATTCAAATGTACATACCACTGTTGCTGTGAGTGTACTAAATTTATCATTCGCTAAATATTCACGTGCTGTACTTTCAACTGTCTGTAAGAGATATCAGTCAATCCAAAAGGAAGCCTGAAGACTGCAGTGTTGCATAGTTAATCTAAAACAACAAAATGCCTTACCAATCTCAAAATCTGATGAGAGCGGGAACTAACTTCATTTAAAGCTGTCTCTCCAATTTGTCGTTGAGCTGCAATGATTAGATGATACTTAGTCAAACTTTCGACCAAACATCATAGGTTTTAATGTATATACATGTTGGGAAAATCAATACCAATACAGACTGATAAAAGCTCTTTAAAATGATTCCAGTCCCGCAGAGTTTCCTCCGTGAGTTTCTCAACAACTGTCCCTTTCTGTCCCAAAGTAAATAACCAGTAAAGTAAGATTCTTATACATAACCAATTCCATAAGATGCCAGAGCCAATATTTACCTCAGGATCATCTAGAAGTCTGAGTGGACTAATATCTGTACTCAAGAGGTCTCTTACAGACTCATTATAGATTTCCATGGCTGAGAACTTCAGAATAAATGCTCTTTCCTTGTGCTGTAGAAAACACATAAAAATTGAAAACGGTTACAGTTGCTGAATGAAGTGGAGATAATGATGTAAGATTACTATTAAGACTATGGAGACACTATGCTAACTTTACCTTCTCAATGTGATCATATATATCGGCCAAGGCGTAATCCGTAATTCCACTCATAGTGTATGTCTTTCCACTGCTTGTTTGCCCATATGCAAAGACACTAGCTGAAACCAGTTGAATTTTGTATCAAACATGAGCCAAAGTGGATAAAGACTATAGCAATACGAGACATTCCTTACCATGAACTCCATTAACAACAGAGAGAGCCACTTCCTTCGCCCCTTGATCATACACCTCCCTGGTACAACACTCAGGGCCAAACACTCTGTCTAGAGGCATATGAAAGCTCAGTAAGATAGATATGAGGATTCATTTTAATCCAGAAGCTGCGAAAGTGAGCAAGCTTTACCAAATGTATACGCAGTGGGGTACATAGACCTCTCGGATACAGAAAGATGGCTCCTGTATATAACTGTTTCATCATTGATACATTCCCAGTCTGCCACATCATTCCTTGCCGTTTCTTTCACATTTAATGGCCTCAGACGAACAGAAACAAAAATCTTCTCTTCCCTACCACTCGGTCCTTGCATTTGATCTTCTCCTATACCCATCTTCACCTGTTACCTCCCTTCCCGCATCCTACCCCAAAAGAAACCAGGACAAGAACAACAGCAATGTCATACATATATATATAGAGAGAGAACACGAATTATAATGACAACTCAAACACTGAAGATCCTGAGTCTAGTTATGAACTTGTATATTTTCATGTCTCTAGCAGAACAACATTGTCTTTATCCACGTGTTTTCTATCCAAAACATGTCAGAAGAGAACGACACCGGAATCAACAACAACAACAGCAACGTGGTTCATTTTCATCATTGTTTTGAGACATAAACAAACGAACTTTCATAACAAGATTCTGCAGAGGATTTGGTGTTTTCTGCAATGGTCCCCCTCCTAAACAGTCTGTCAAAAAAGTCTTTCTTGCATGTTGCATTAGTTTCAAGCCTAGGCTAGGCCTATATTTTATTCCAGAGATTAGATATTATAATATTCACAGCCGTTTCTGCAGAATGTTCAATGTGATGCCAAGAATCTTTGGCAACTACATGTGCAGTGACCAAAAAAATAAAAGCTTTTGACTACTTACACCTGCCTAGAAGAAACAACAACCAACAAACACAAATTTAAAGATCCAACAAAGTAAAACTATAATAATAAACTGTACGAGGCAACAACAACACTAAACAAAAAATTTTAAATTATATCAATCAATAGTGTGACATGCCGTCGCCGGAACATGAACCTAAGTAAAATTTCCCAATCACCGGCTCACACGACTCAGACAGTACAGCTTCAAATCAATGAATCTCGAGAAAACTCATAAATAAAAACTTCGAATCGACAAGAAATTACGGATAATGAAAGAGATTTCTCACCAACGAATTGGCGAAGGGTGGTCGGAGAATTAGAGAGACGAGACCAAACGCGAGGAGACGAAGAACAATGGCGGAAGCGAAGGTGAACGGTACGGTGTTACCGACGGAGGAAACAGCATTATAAAAAGAACGATTCAAAGGAGAAGAACCCAGAGATTTCTCAGGTGACCTGTTTCGCTTCGCCTACAGCAATAAAACAATTCACAAAAAAAAAAAAAATCTGAATTGTGTAGCTGTTAAATCGTTAATGGCTTCTTTTTTTTTTTTGTTTTTTTTTTTTGGGTTTTGTTCATTCGTCATTCGTAATTGGTGAAATTAAGGAATTAGCTAATTATATCTTAGCGCGCTAAAGAAAGCATTAATTTAGATTTTAGAGCAAGGCTAGCTAATGATTATTTGTTTTTGGTAGACTCTCTCTTTGTTGTTGTTTGTAAATTAGACAATTTTATATAAAAATCATTTAATTAGAAAAGTAAAAACGGGTCACCTTCTCTAATTTATTTTGCATTTAGTTTCACTATAATTACAAAAAGGTTACCAGATTTTAAAGATTTTTCTCATTAACAATAATATATGTCATAAATTTGTGTCTCACTTTTATCATCCACATACTTTTTTAAAAAAGAATAATAATTTTGTTTAGGCCATTTCTTTATTGTTCCAAAAAACACAATAATGCACATTATACACATTGGTTTGGATTAAAGAATATGGGAGGAAAGTTATAATTATCCCAGTGGTAATGATGTTTTAATCCTCTAAAGTTGATTAATAATTTTTTTTTTTAAAATTGATTAATTACATCATTAAACATCACTCTTTGATTTAATGAACATAACATTATTTCGATCATTATGGCACATCACATCATAGCCACAAAAGAGGTTATATGATTTTTCAAACAACTATTTGGGGAGATATACATAAATTAGAGACATAAATAAATAAAAGAGGACCATGCACAACACACAATAAAAGAAAAAAAAAAAAAAAAAAAGACCCATGCAAGTTATTATGAGACAGCAGCACATGTTTATTGAGGCCATGTTTCCTATTACTACAAATCAGATTCATTTCCGGAATCAACGCTTATTATATGCTATTTTCTTATATATCGAAAAGTAATGTCATGATTGATATTTATTTATTTATTTAAATAAGTCATTTTTTTTTCTTTAATTTTTTAATTCTCTCTATCATGAGACTGAGACATATTAGTCGGCAAGCGCAAGTCCACAAATTGGCGATTTAGCAACTCCAAGACCAAAACTCATCATATCACTCTCTATGTCACATGAAGATGATGCATTTTCCTCTTCTTTTGTGTGTGTTTTGATATAATCCGAGATAACAATTTAAGAATTTGCAAACACAAAAAAAGGGGGAAAAGAAAAGAGAGCTAGAACGGCTACCGCAGGTAACTCGAAGCCACCCAAAGCAAAACGTAGCTTAGGAGGGAAGACATGACTTCGAAACCTCTTGGTCCTTTGATGAACGGTGGGATCACAGATACCATCAAGAATGTCCCAACCAGCCACGAGAAGATGAATGCTCCGCTCCTGTTTCACAACATCAATCTGATCAGGTGCGAATTTAATTCAAGAAGGTGGCAAAGTTGTTTATGATTTGGATCAGCTTATACCCGTAAAGGAAAGTCCAGAGCTTCTTCTTCAGCCTTTCGTGGATGAAGTAAAAGGTAGCTATTAGTGATAACGCAACCTGCAAGGTCGGTCCTTCTTCAGTCGGGAACAGAACGGTTAGGACACCAAGAACTGCAAATGTGACTGCTGCTTTGACAAGGAACGCAGTTGCAGGAGTCTGGAATCTTTCGAAAACAAAGTTGACAACTTTTGACTGCCTCACTTGGCGGACCTTTTTCGATATGTCAATCTTCGGGTTTTTCCGCTCATGGAACTTCTGCATGATAATCTTGTCGTGAGCTGATTCAATTGCATCAACACTTGGTTTATGCCCTGCATACTGCTGAATGAGAAAGTTCCTCGCGCCTTGAATCTCATCCTCTGAGGCCATCCGGCTTATCCCAAGCCGTTTATATGGGTCTTTGACATTGATCCGAGGGAAGACAGCTGAACCTATGGGAATAACTGGGAACATTAGTCATTTTGGCTTGAAATATTTGCTGTGAAGGTCAAGTTTTTAACCAAGAATGATGCATTTCATTGGTAGCTCGATATTGCTTCGTCTATTGACAGCTAGTTCAGTTCCAAAGAACCTATCAGTATTAAGTTACACAAAAGCACCTAACTATCATAACTAATGAACACAAAGCACCGTTTACAAGCTTAACCCAGGATTATTGCGTTATGTTATGAGTATGTGCCAGTAACTAGAAAGCTTAACCTGGCATTATGCATAGCTCAGAATAATGTATTACCAGTTGAGTCATCTGCCATATCACCAAAGGAAGCACTCATGGCGCGGACAATTATAGCATTGCTTCGTTGTGTAGGAAATGCCAAACAGGAACTGCACAACACCGAAGAGGAGAACATTTCAGCTAACCATGAAAAAGAACTAGCATATGCTTATTCGAACAAATACTAAAAAAAAAGACACTACCTTTTCAGATTCGGCCAAGCGGACTTTCTATTATCCAGTTTACTTAGAACACTAAAAGCTTGAGAGCTTCTCTGAGAGGTGCCAACACGATCTGAACGCCATCGAAAGTGGAATCTGGGCGGAGTAACAGTTAACCCGGACGCATTCATTTCTAACTATGCTGAAGCTCTCCCTTCACACCACCAACCTCAATCCCTAAAATCAAACAAAAATCAGGCATAAACCCTAAACAACCGCTAAACCAATCATGATACTACTATGCACTCTAAATCCAATTTAAATACGTGAAACCAGTAATCCAAGGAAAGAGAAATCGGAACCATATCAGAATTCAAGTTCTCCCATCCTCATGAATTGAACCAAAAGCCAATTCTAAATTAAAAGCAGCTTCGGAACCAAACGGAAGGAGAAGAGAATAAAAAAAAAAAAAAAAAAAAAAAAAAAGAGTACCAGAGGAGAAAAGACGTATCGCTGATGAAACAATTCACAACACCACTACCCCTTTCCTTCCCGGAACCATTCACAAAGACAAAACCTTTGTTAGGCAACGGATAGAAGAGATATCGCAGAAGAAGAACCCTCAGCTTACATTTGTTAGTTATATTGATGTTAAGTCAAATGTAGTCAACAATCCGTCGTAGTCTAGCTGGTTAGGATACTCGGCTCTCACCCGAGAGACCCGGGTTCGAGTCCCGGCGACGGAGTTCTTTTTGTTTTTCAATGTCATTTTTTAAATCTTGAATATATCATGACCACACAAACTTTTCAGCTGATGAGGCTATCATGTACTTATGTTAAATGCATATAGTCAAAGTCTGAGAGAATTAATATAACCAGAGTAACTGTTATTAAAACCGTGATAATAACTAGCCAAATGTACAACTGTACAACATTGTTTCAGACATTTGTAGGTTTTGGTATCATCCGTAGTTTCGTAGCTTCTTGTGACATTAGATTTACAGAGTCTGATGGAAGATCCTGCGCCCCCTACAACAAAGACATTAATTGATATTCAACATATGAGAAAAGCTTCGTTCAGTAGCATATAACATAAGACAAATTAATTTGAGCCAATTTTGCCTACAAAATCAGACAGTGATGAGGTGAAGAACATACCTCAACGGTGTACATCATGACTGGAACAAAGTTATAGTGGCTATATGACCATTCTTCATCACCTGCAAATAGTTTAACCCAACTCCAAGTTTCGCTTAACAAATTGCAAATATACAGCAAGGATCATAATTTACTGAATCAGGGTTACTAATAAATGCTTCACCTCAAAAGCAACATTCTGATAGCCATACACATAGGTCGATCCAAAAGGGTTGCTCGTTGATCCCTGTGTCTGAATAGCTGCTGGGCCACACTCCCCGAGTATTTCCTAAGGTGAAAGCCAGGATTCATGAGAGAAGTGTTTTACTCAATTTGTTCTGATTCTCACTTTTACTAATGATCTGAATCAGTCATAAATTATGCTGAGAGTTATACATCCGACCATTTCCTTAATGCTTCCTCACAAGATTCTTCCCATTATACAATAGGATCTCGCAATGGTGGGATTTGTTAAGAGAATTACACCAATAAAAACTTTCAGGGACAATCGGTCAAGGCCTAACATAGAATAGCTTTATCATTCATTTTTCTGTTATGCTTATATCACTTTGGTCTGAAGATAATTTACCTTGACCTGATCCCAATTAGTGCTTGGAGTGATCTTGTTTCCACCTCTGTTAGCTTCTGCCGCATCCTCCCCAACTGTAAAGCAACCAGAGAGAGTAGTTTTGTTGGAAAAATAAGACAACATATATCTGAGTAAAGGATAATTGACTGACATGAGCTGCTTCATTTGCATTGCATACCAGAAATCACAAAGTTGCACTTTATGTATGAGTTGAAATCAGCATGACCGGGATAGTTAGTGTGAAGAACAAACTTTTTAACTTTGTGAGTCTGCAGAAAAGGTAGAGTCAGTGACTAAAGAAAACATATGAAGGGAATAAATAACTTTGATGAGTTTCCTACCTCCCCGTCAAACAGGATGTCTAAACCACGAGTAAAATAGTTGTAAAAGTAATCCCCACACATAGTTGTTTTTGGTCGTGGATCTGACGCGGAATGAATAACCATTTGATCTACCTGGAAAACAAAGGACAATTCATAATTAAAAATCTAAATGTACAGTTGGGCACTGAACTAACAGATAGTGCAGGCACCATAGTAAGATAAACTAATATAAGCATCTAATCAACATATACAAACAAGTTTAGAGAGACGGGTATAGATCACCTGCTTTGGATGGATCCCACATGGTCGACCTAGTTCAGTCCATACATCCTGCTTGGAGCACGAAATGATTAGTTCCAAAGAAAGACAGCTCAGACAAGGTACAAACTTTACCTGTGGTGATGCACCAAAAGGCATATGCTGGCCTCCAACAGTAAAATATAGTTCCTTGCCGAGCTGCATAAATATTAAATGAAGTCATGCGAAGAGTAAGGACAGGCTAGCTGCTAATTATGTCAGGCTAGGGATATAGAAACACACAAAGGGCAAGTAACTATGGAAATATAAGCCAAACCTTGACATTAACCTCTTCCATATACAAGCTGCCAGAAGGCAACGGAGGGACAGAAGCTCTTTCCATCAGTTTTCCGACACCAACTTTTTTGTCACTTGAGTTGTCATATATAGAGACCCGGCATGTTACTGGTGTGGTGCCATCTGGAAACTCTAATGGTAGTGCCGCTTTGTAGAGGAGAAAATAAAATGTAGGAAGTTAGGTATCTAACAAGGTAATCAGCATAACAAAATTTACCTGGAGCCGGAGAAGAACATACCTTCTCCATCATGACAGCAGTCTGTGTATTGGTTAGGAATTGGAAACTCAAAGGATAGCCCCTGCCATAATAAAAAATGTTAACATTGATAGAATAATTCAATCATTTACGGAAAAACAGTGGATCATATTTTATACTGTGCTCACCGGGTAGAACAGAGAATAAATCCCTCTTTCTTTATCATAAATCCCAGGGAAGGTTGGTCCAAAAAGTGCATAAACAGCCACAAAAGTTGCCAGTGTTGATGGACCTCTGAAGTACAAGCAAAAAGACAGTGATTACAATAGTAAATTACACCAAAACCATAAATTTATTTTCCTTGGCTCACCCAATCATAGAAGTGGCGTAGCGCATCTGAAGCCGCTTAACATCAAATATCTCAACAAGCCGTAGCCTCTGCAAACAAATTAGAAGAATAATAGCTAAACTCGAGTGTCTCTTTAACAGAAAAGGAAGACTAAGCTAAGTTTGTTCCATTTAAAAGTCGTCATATGTCAATGTAGAATATACTCAACTGTAGGTAGACATGAAGAGGGAACAAGAGTTTGTAAAGCGGTGAAGTTGGTTTAATCATACACATGCAAGAACCACAGCATAATCAAGAAAAGAATTGTACCTGAGACCAGGGATCAAAACGAAGATGAAACCCATGATCTGGAAAGCTAATAACAACATCCATTTTCAAAGGATCCTGGGAGAGGCAACATAATCTTAGTAAACCCAACACAGAATATGACGACATAAATGAAATATATAAGCAATGAACAACATCGTAGTACAAACCTCGTCGTAGTATTTAACATGAACAACATCATATATGTTAGGCTGCTGCTCTATTTGAGCAAAAGCTTCACAAATCGGCATTCCTGAAACAACAGGACCCAACTTTGATGGTCGGTCAAACTGATCGGAAGATGAAACAGTATGCTAAAGAACTAAAGCAACTAACATAACGTTTGCTAATACTAAATATGATCCAACAGTTATCAAACTACGCAGCAATTTTATCGAATTTTTCCACAAAAGAATTCCCAAAACAACACGCAATCTCCGATCGCAAAATCAACTCCCCATCGTCCAACTCCAAAATACACCGTATAGATGATAAACCCGTATTCGAATCCTAGAAACTAAAGAAAAGTAGCAGAAATTATGATTTAGGAGAGAATCGCCGATTACCGATGGAGAAAGGTCCGATGCCGACGCCGGGACGGAGATCGAACACGGTGGCGCCCATGGCAGTGCCTTCGCATCGTCGTCTAGCTCTCTGCATCACTAGTTTATCGCCGATCTTTGAGTAATCCTTCATTTGTTGAATTCGGTTTCTTGCACAGAAGAGATTACGCAACTTTTTTTTTTCCCACAATTTTTTTCTTCTGATTTCTCAAAGTTCTGAATTAAGTTGGGTCCACTTTAGTTCCTCTCGTATATTTCTATTTTAAAAACTCTTGCCAAACGGGTCGGGTTTGGGTTGTTGACCCGTCCGTGTAGCACCCAAATATACGCATAGTACACTTTCTCGCCAATAAGCACGTGACACCTCCACGCACTCCCTAATCCACTTTTGTGATACTGTACTTTAATTTTTGGTTAATGACCATGCGATCTACATAATCAATGGTTCTCCAACAAAAAATATACAAATTACGCACTACCTGAAAATACATTAAAAAGTAACTAAAATGAAGAAATAAATTCAAAGTTAATATGAAATGACCACAAGAAAGATATGGTCATATTTTTAGTCCTTCAACATATAATATACACCAATTAAAATCCTTTGACACCCTTTAAATTTTTCAAAACAAACCAAGATTTTACCATGAACACGAAGTTAAAAGGTTATTTTCCAACTGTTTTTTACCACTCTTAATCTCTTATGCATAGTTGACTGCATTGCTCTTAATTAATTAGTAGGTACTATTGATTACAAAATTTTGAAGAGCTTAAGAAAGCATGGACCATACATTATGCAGAATGTTGTTGTTACCAAAGATATCTATGTCTTTTTCTCCAACGTACTCAAGTCCACTATGTTAAATTGATTATGTAATCTTTAGTATTTGGATAACTCTAAATATTGTCTGTGTAACATTTCGTATTAGAAATATATATAAAAGGATATATATCACAAATATCAAAGTTGGAAACTTTATAACAAAAAAGGTAAGTCTAACATGCACGTGAACAATGCCCATTGCCCAACAAAGGTACGAAGCCTATCTACAACTACAATACTATGTGATGATGTGTGGCGAATGAAGTTATTCAAGAATAGATGACCAAATCATGAAATATCATATGAGATTACACTCCTTTGGGTTAGGTTCTATGTTTTCCATAAATACATGTCTTGGGGTACTTGTTCTTCCAACAATTTGTTGGATATTTAAGTGTTAATTAAAAGTGGTTATTTATTAACCAACACAACTCTTAAATGTATGATTATTTGATTAACCAATACAATTCTTGAGTAAATGGTTGCTATTAAACGAACTGTTGCAAACGTTTGTCACACATATTGACCATTATAAAAAAAACTTTTGCTTTTTACATGAAAAATCGTAGAGAAAAAAATGAGAAAGAGGAGAGAAACCAAAGACCAAAGGTTAAGAAAACTTTGGTGTAATCACAAAAACAAAACAGAAAACTTTAGGATCTCGTGTAACCCTAGGCTAAATATGGGTCAAAATATTCTTTAAAGAAAGTGCTTCCGAGTAAGATTCAATCATTATTCAAGTTCACCTTACGTTACAATCCCGGAGATACACCGCATATACAACACTCTCGTGGTATAAATAATTCGTGTGATAAATGATAGAAAACGTATTTTGAACATTTTGAGACAACTTTATTATTACTATCGACTCGATGACTGAATTAGTCAGTTGTTAGAATGTAAAATAATATTCAATACTCAAATCATAGAAAGTTAATTCCAAAATAACAAAGCAAATTTATATAGGTCGATATTTTTGCTTGAAATGTTAACGAATTACATTATTTCTGTAGTCCGTAATAAATTTTTCTTAATAACATACAAAAATATGCACAATCACTTCGTTGTTACTGTATATGATAACATTTTATTTTACTGTAACATACAATGATTTTATGTAAAAACATGATTTTTTGTAAATTCTTAATTTTAACATAATATCATTTTTTTTCTTCTGAAATACATACAATAAAATGCCCCATATATTTTGCCAAATTGGACACTACAAATAGCTGTCTACCAATGTCAAGAAAAAATAAAAACAATAGCTGTCCACCTAATTAGCTGTAAATTTAAATTTCTTATCTTATTTACTCAAATCTTATTTGGATAAGTATCTGAAGGTTTAAGCTAGGAAATCTACATTAGATAATCGAAATTTAATTGAAAACGTTGAATAGATTTTAGTATTTATGGAATCCGAAGTGATTTTGGTAATGCTTGGAAAATAAAAAATTCTAAAAGCAGAAAGAAGTGGCAACATTTTAGCTATAAAAATGGTCATAACAAAGTAAGAAGAAGAAGTGGAAAAGAGAAAAATAAAATAAAAAGCAAAAACAAAAGTCCATTTCATATTTTTTTTTTCTCCCCACTAGTCTTCGTTTTCTAAACACATCACCCAAACTTCTCCATCATCAATTCATCATCATCATCATCATCGCCAAAATCCCCAAAGAACCTCAGATTAGGGTTTCTATTTCGCTTGTTGATCTGCAACTACTGCTCTTTAATTTTTCGAATTCTTGACTTCTCATGGAGAATCAGCAGAAGCAACTCCAGCAGGGCGTGCCGGAGTTGGCTTCTTTGACTGCTCGCGAAGAGAGTTCGGTTAGGGGGATCGATCTTATGAGAGTTGATCAATGTGATGAGATCGGTGTTAACCAAGTTCCTGCTCTCTCTGTACCTGCCTCCACGGTGGCTGGGACGGTTCCTGTGCCTGTGTCCATTGGGCAAGAGGTTAAAGTTGTTGATGAGGCTGCCCCTGTGAAACGAAAACGGGGTCGTCCTCCGAGGGCACTCGCTAACACTCCGTTGCATACTCGGCCACTTCCGCCGCCGCCTCGGAAGGAAGACAAGGAAGAGGATGTTTGCTTTATTTGCTTCGACGGTGGAGACCTCGTTCTCTGTGATCGCCGGTAAGTGATTGTCAGTTTACAGTGATAATTTTGCTAGATAGTATGCTCCATAGGAAGATTAGAGCCTCGGCGTATGTTTTAGTAGGATAACACTAAGGAGAGCTCAAGTTAGTTAGTTTTATTGGACACTCTGTGGTATATTAATCAATAACTTTGTTCTTTATCTCATCATCGAGATTCTATTTTTCCGATTATGTGTTGGTTAATGCCATAGGTTTAGAGCTACTCAATTGCTAAACAAGCAAGAGGGTACTGTTAGCTATTTACGGAGGTTTTGGAAACGGGATTTAAGTTATTGATAAGTTTTTGATCGGTTTGTTTTGTGCATTCAGGAATTGCCCCAAGGCATACCATCCAGCTTGTATTAAGAGAGATGAGGCATTCTTTCGAACGACAGCTAAATGGAATTGTGGTATGTCGTATAGTCCGTGATGTTACTATGTTGTCTTTGCTGTCAGCAATCTAGAGACTGATTGTTCTGACATATCGTTATTTTCAATTACCTTACATAATGACGTGAACATTTTTCGGAATCTGATGTTCCGTTCATTCATTTCAGGTTGGCACATATGTGGTACATGCCAAAAGGCTTCCAGTTACATGTGTTATACATGCACTTTTTCTGTTTGTAAGCGGTGCATTAAAGATGCCGACTATGTGATTGTGAGAGGTAACATGGGTCTTTGTGGCACATGTATTAAGCCTATAATGCTGATTGAGAATATTGCTCAAGGAGATAAGGAAGCGGTAAGACAATCCTCCACAAATCTATAGTTTCCATTCAATACTTTATAGCTGCAAAATTTGCTCAGGTCCCAATTGAATTTTTGCCAATGTGCCACAATTACCTTAAGAAGAAATGAGGAATATGGTTTGTTGATTTTAGTCTTGTTTGGGCTTTACATTTCTTTGATTGTTCTTTATCAAGAAACTAAGGGTTTCGATTTATATTAACCCGATTAAAATCCATCGTAGTGTTGCCATGCACAAGACACTTCTACGTATCGACACAATAGGTAATGTGATAACAATCAATCACAGGCTAAAACTCATGGAAATTTGGAGATTTGGGGCTGATTGATTTCTAATATCACAAGATATCTAACGGAATGATAGGAGTTTTCCATAGTTGTTAGTCATGGGAATCCTATTTAATTAGTCAAGGGCAGTAGGGTATGTTGGGTTCTCTAAATAATGGGGTGTAACTGAAAGACAAAAGTCACTCTTGTTTTGGGAGGGAATCTTGTATTTCCTTAATACGCTAAGAAAGTTGAGTGTTATTCTTTTATATAATCCTCTTTAAGCTATCATAATGTATGCAGCTTATATTGTTTTCCTTCCTTTTTAGGTTAAGGTGGATTTTGATGACAAGCTCAGTTGGGAGTATCTATTCAAGGTATATTGGCTTTGCCTGAAGGAAGATCTGTCTCTTACTGTCGACGAGCTTACTAGAGCAAATAATCCTTGGAAGGAGGTTTCTAACTCTGCTCCTCAAGTGGAGTCACGAAATGATCTTACCAATAACAGGGGTTTAGATGTAGCAGTGAATGGAACAAAAAGAAGAAGGACCAGTGATTCCCCCACCTTACCCAGCAAGTTGGATGGAAAAAAGCCAAACAATATCCTAAAGAAGGCTCCTGGAGATACGTGCTGGGCAACAAAAGAACTCCTCGAGTTTGTGTCGTTCATGAAAAATGGCGATACATCTGTTCTTTCACAGTTCGATGTACAGGGTCTCCTGCTTGACTATATTAAGAAAAAGGATCTTAGAGATCCTCTTCAGAAGTCCCAAGTCATTTGTGACCTGATGCTTGTCAAGTTGTTTGGAAAACAGCGAGTGGGTCATTTTGAAATGCTTAAGCTTCTCGAGTCCCATTTCCTTATTCAAGAGAAACCGAAAGATGTGAAAACCACAAATGGTGACACTACTCATGCTGTACCTAGCCAGATAGAGGAGGATAATGTTCATGATTCAACGGTCAGGGATAGAAGACGAAAGATGCGTAGGAAAACTGATGGCAGAGTACAAAATGAAAATCTTGATGCACTTGCAGCCATTGATGTTCACAATATCAACCTGATTTATTTGAGACGTAAATATTTGGAGTCTCTACTTGATGATATCAACAAAGTTCACGAAAAGGTGGTAGGCACAATTTTGAGAATTAAGGTATCTGGCAGTGATCAGAAGCTGGATATTCACAGGCTCGTTCAAGTTGTAGGTACGTGATTAATAGTCATATTAGTGCTTTCTTAAGGAAAATATGACTATATAGTGACCCAAATGTTTTAATAGTATGATCGCATCTGATTTTGTGGTTATCCAACAGGTACAAGCAAGGCAACAGCATCCTACCAACTTGGCGCAAAGACTACAGATGTTTTGCTAGAAATACTGAACTTAGACAAGAGAGAAGTCATCTCGATGGATCAATTATCAGACCAGAATGTCACAGAGGTGATATAGCCCTCTCTAAAATATTTATTTCTCCACCTTTCTCTGCTTGTGAATAAAGAGTAAACCCATTATAAGGTAGCCCTAGTAATTACGTTTCTATTTATCTTTAATGTATGTATAACCGTGGTTTTCAGGATGAGTGCAAACGCCTGCGCCAGAGCATAAAAAATGGCCTCAATAAACGTTTGACTGTGGTAGGAATGCGCACATGATATCTTCTCGTCCTACAATTGTATATTTTACCTAAGTTGGAAACACGTTTTTTTGGGTATCAGGGTGACATTTTGAAGACTGCAGCAACACTGCAAGACATGAGAATCGATGAGGTAAATTCATAAAAAAAGAGCAAATATCTTTCATATTAAATATCGAAGATCTTCATTATCGTAGTTCATTATTGTCCGGTACATGTGTTTCTTATGGATGTTTTGTTGATGTAGGCTCTGAAAGCTGAGATATTAAAGCTCAATCATCTGCGTGATAGGGCCAGTGAGAAGGGTCACAGAAAGGAATATCCTTTTTGAGATTACTATGCTATATTTGTGCATTTCGCTTACACTACTTCTCTTTGCAATTGTGCTTGATTAATAATTTTGATGAGTCGTTGATAAAATAATTCATTGAAAAGGTGACCATACTGCGCTAGACTTAAAAGAATAATTCAGTTTGGGTAGTGTACAACTTGAAAAATACCCTGTTCTTCACATTTTGACTTTGACGCTGATTGCATGGAAGCCTTGTTTTATCAACTATTCTTAACTATTGCCCACGCTTAGAGAATGTGTAGAAAAGCTGGAGCTTCTACAATCACCTGAGGAACGTCAGCGGCTTCTGGAGGAAGTCCCAGAAGTACATATAGATCAAAGCATGGATCCGAGTCATCCATCATCAGAAGATGCAGGGTTGGGTACAAGGAAACAAGGTCTGCCACCTTAACTAAGGATGTGAACAGCTACTTGTACATTTTCTTAATGAATATTCCTGATTGTTGGATGCTATTTACAATCGCCGACGTTTGGTATTTGCAGATAATCACATAAAGGCACAAAGTAAAGGTCTACACAAGAAAGGGGCAATCTTGAACAACGTGGGAAATAATACGCAGAAAAAATATGATGCACCAATTTTACGAAGCAGAAATGCCGTGCATGGTGATAAAGATGATTTTTCTAAGGTCCACAACAACTCATCAAATATCCAGGTTTGACATACCACCTACATTCATAACATAACCTCTCATGATTTTCTATTTTGATTCCACGGCATTTAAATTTCTGGGTACTGTAGGAAACTGGTAGAGATGACGAGGAGAATGAAATATGGCATTATCGAGATCCAACAGGAAAGACCCAGGGACCGTTTTCTATGGTGCAGCTCCGCAGATGGAAATCTAGTGGCCACTTCCCCCCTTATCTTAAGATATGGAAAGCGCATGAGAATCAAGACGAGTCTGTGCTTCTGACTAATGCTCTTGCCGGACGATTTGATAAAGCAATTACTTTGCCAAGTTCCTCTTCGCTTCCCCAAGAACTAAAACCTTCTCCGCATGATTCTGTCTTGGATGTGAACTGTGTTCAGAAGAACCATACCCTAGTTAACACCGGTGCCCTTTCAAACGATCTAAAAGAGAAAGAAGTTGTGGCTCTTGTAGCTTGCTCTGGAAATGTCGAGGGTGATAATTCTGTTTGTCCTCAGCCTCAAGTTAGTTGTCCTGTGTCAATTTCTGTGGTGCCAGGACACGTGGTTACTCCTGACGTAAGAGAAACTCCAGTACCCGATTTATCTAATGCTGTGCAGGCAGATGGTAACCATAGCACAACTATGAAAGTGGAAGATGGAACAAATAGTGGTTCTATTCCCATAAACGGTTCTGTTCAGGCACCAAACCTGAATCAAGAAAGCCATTTCCTTGATTTCCCAAGTCCTACACCTAAGTCGAGCCCTGAAGACTTGGAAGCTCAAGCGGCGGAGACTATTCAGTCTCTGTCTTCATGTGTCCTGGTCAAAGGACCGTCTGGTGTCACATGGAGCACCACCACCACACCTACCACCGATGCTACTACTACTATGTCAAGTCTTGTGGTAACTGGAGGAAAGCTTCCTCAAGTAACTCAGCAGAATGCTGTTGTTATAGCTGCACCGTCTGTAAAGTCAATAAATTTGGCAGCTGATCATGCCACAACTACTCAGACTTCAGAAAACACCCAAGTGGCTCAGTCATCTGGGTGGCCGGCCATTGTTGCTGACCCTGACGAGTGTGATGAATCAGTTTCAGATCTATTAGCAGAAGTTGAAGCAATGGAGCAGAACGGTTTGCCCTCTTCACCTACCTCAACATTTCACTGCGATGATGATGATGATTTGACAAAAGGGCCAGAAAAAGATTTCTTTAACCCTATGTCACGCATGGCCCTCACACCTGAAACATGCAGAATGGATGTCTCTCAGGCGAGTATTCTCCATAATGTCTCTGTTGGGAAAAGCTCAATGGGCACAGAAGCAAAAGAAAACACTCCCTTCAACCACTGCGGAACCGCTGGTCCAGAGCTTCTGCTTTTTGCACCGCCAACACCAGCTTCAACTCCAACTTCAATAAGTCACGACCTGACTTTAACGACAACAGCTCTCAGACTGGGATCAGAAACCACAGTTGAAGCTGGACCATTAGTAGAGAGGCTTCCCAAGTCTGGTTCGGAACCAAGCCCTAGGGTACTATCATCTCATGACTCAGCCCGAGGAAACACTGAGCGCAGTCCACGAGGGAGCCAGCACAAGAGATCCAGCGGACACAGCAGAGACCGGCAGTGGTTGAACCACGGTCACCACAATAGCTTCAACAACAGTCATAATAACCGGCAGTGGCCATACAGCAATAGCCATGGTTATGAGCATGGATCAGGTTCGTATGCAGCTCATCCGCCCAAAGGGCTGAAAATCTGTAAATTCTATGAGAGTGGACACTGCAACAGGGGTGCATCTTGTAGTTTTTGGCACCCCTGAAGTCTCAAATTTCTCGTATTTTGTATTTATTTGTTATTTAACATACCTCAGAACATCTTTTTTTGTAACCCAAAAGCTGCATGTTTAAGTAATTAAACAACTTAGGTTCTCACATCTTCTATCAATTTATTTAACAAAACAAATATATTACCTGTGGCTGGCTCGTTACTAGAAACCAACAGAAACAAAAATCAAATCAAATTTGAGTTTGCTTGGATGATAAAAATAATGATTGTAGTTTTATTAGTTTTAACAATTTATATTCTGCAGGTTGTATATCAAACAGATGAGCAAGCGAATGCACAGAGACATAAGAAAACGAAACAACTCAACACAAAGAAACTTCAATCGTAATCCTCAGACAGCAGCAACCTTCTGCTTCTTCCATGTATATAGTAGCTTCAAGAATCTTGAGATTCGTCGTTGGCGATTCTTCTGGCAACAAATTATTCTTCATACTTTGTTGAACAATCTTCTCTTGTGATTGCCTTTCTTTTCTTGAGCTTCGATTGAACAGCACTAACATCCTCGAGCATACCAAAAATCTTCTTTATGTTCAGCCAGTCCTCCAACAGTGTACCCAGTTCTTCCTTCAGCTCCGGTTTAGAATCCAGATATTTGAAACTTGTCTACATACACTTGAATCTCTTCTTCGGTTATCCAATCTAGTATCGTTGTGCAGCTGTTTTCTTTGTATCAGGAGATATAAGTAGTCTCTTGTTATCATCAAGAACTTCTTCATTACCGTCAAGCAATCATGCTTGGAAAATGCAGCCTTAGCACTTCCTGGTTCTGAGAGATGTATAACCTTAATGGTATGGATATTGATTGGTCTGATGTAAGAAATGTGATGGACAAGAAGGAGTATTTGCTGCTGCATTAAAGGATCTGAAATTAAGGGTGATGAACATTGTTCCTGTGGACGCACAAGAAATACTTACCTTCATATATGAACGTGGTTTATTTGGAATTATATCATTCAGCAATTATCCCATAACTTACCATGACTTGAATTGATCTTTTCTCCACCCTGAGGAGTGAGGAGGAGATTAGATAAACATCAGTGAGGTGAATATACTCTCCATTGCAGAGCTTAGACAAGAGAGAAATCATCTCAAGTTTAAAAATATAAAAATAAATTAGCTGGCTGGCTCGTTTACTCAGAAACCAACATAAACAAAAAGCAAATCAAATTTGTGTTTGCTTGGATGGATGATACGACTGCTACACTAATTCGAACAGATGAGTAAGGATGGATGTACATAGAATTAAAGGAAAAAAAAACAACTCAACACTACAAATAATCCTCAGACAGCAGCAACTTTCTGCTTCTTCCATTTATAAGCAGCTTCAAGAATCTTGAGATTTGTCGTCTCCGATTCTTCTGGGAACACATAATCCATGTATTCTTCATACTCTGTTGAACCGTCTTCTCTTGTGATTGCCTTTCTCTTCTTGAGCTTCTTCGGGAGCTTCGACTGAACAACACTGATATCCACAAGCATACCAAAACTCTTCTCCATGTCCAGCCAATCCTCCAACAGAGTAGCCCTTTCTTCCTTCAGCTCCGGTTTAGACTCTTTGTAGTATGTGTTGGCTTTATCGAGAATCACTCTCGAGTGTTCAAGAATAACATTGTCTTCAGCAGCAGAAGCTTCAAACTTTGCGAAACTAAGCCACACCTTGTAATGCTTTGTACGCTCCAAGAGTCGCTCATATAAAGTTCTTGTTCTCTCTAATTCCCCAATTGATATCTCAAAATCAATGTATGCCTTCCATAGCAACTCGGGCATGTCAAGAGCAGGCTGGGATATTGCAAGTTCAAAAATAGCTCTAGCTCGTTCTGTCTCAGCAAGAGACCTCTCCAACTCAGCAAACTCTCTCCAAGCATAGCAATTCTCAGGACACCATTCAAGATACTGATGGTACAGTTTTCGACATCTATCTATGTTTCCCAGGTGGAGTTCGATCTCAATGTATTTCCTGAATAACTTATGCTTTGGAGCTTTGCCAATGGCGTTCCCTAATATCTTCCGAGCACCAGTGAGATCCAGTTGCCTGATCTCAAACTGTGCAGCAAGCAACCATATTTTGGCAAAAGAGAATTTTGCGTGCGGGATAAGCTTGAGGCATTTTCTGTATACAGCTCTTGTACGCTCCACATCTTCAGCTTCAATCTCTTCATACATTGCATATTCAATCCACAGATAGATATATCTCTGCCAGTATCGTTTCTCCTGAGCAGGTGGAACATTAGCAATAGCCCTCTCATAGATTTCTCTGATCCTGTCCTTGTTCTTTAGAGTCTCCTCTAATCTAATGTAATCGAACCAGGAATCATAGTTCAAAGGGTTCGTCCTCACTTCATCTTCATACTGAAACCTTCTCTGGCTAACAATGGCAGCCTCAATACCTTCTTTATCCCCATATTGTTTCTCAAACGCCACAAACTTCTTATACAAATCCCCACCTCTTCCTTTAGGGATATGTTCAAGAGCAAACTTGTAGATAACCCTAGCCCGCTCCACTTCTTTGCACCGTTCTTCAAACTCAGCATAGGCCACAAAGATAAACTCAGCTTCTTCTTCTACGTCTTTCAGCATCTCCCTGGCTCGCTCGTACACACTCCTCGCGACCGCAACTTCACTGTTCTTCATCTCAAACTTTGCAAATCGAATAAAAGCAGAAGCTTTTGGATGGCAAAGCACAAATCTCTCGAAGATGGATCTAGCGTGCTCGACTTCGTTATATCTAAGTTCGAATTTAATGAAAGAGAGCCAAGCTTGTTGATCAGGTGACCATTCCATCCACCGTTGGAAGACCTGTCTAGCTCCGGCGATATTCCCAAGTCTCTCCTCCATGTCACTAAACTTGTACCAGAGCTGGTCCACGCGAGGGAGAAGCATCACGGCTCGATCCCACACGTTCCTGGCACTGTTTACGAATTTGTTCCTCATCTCAAACTCTCCGTATTTGAGCCAGAGCGTATGATTCTTGTTACCGTCTGCCAAAGCTCGTTCCCACACGCTACGAGCACGCGCGTAATCCTTTTGCGACTCTTCCCAGTCCGCATACCTCACAAAAATTTGATTTTTCGTTCGGGCTCCGCGGATCTGGTCCTCAAACTCCTTCCGACGTCGGAGTCTGTAGTCGGAAACCTCAGACGAATCGTTGATATTGTGCTTAGGCGGTGGTTGGGTCTGATCATCTTGCCTATCACGCGTTTCTCTGAAAATTTGTTCCGATGTGATTTGCACCGGTGCTGGTGTCTTGTTCTTCACTTGCATCGACGTCGCCATTTATTTGATTTCTCGTAATACTCTTTCTCGTCTTTCTCTATAGAAGTTGGAATAAAGAAAGATCGATCGATTGATTTGTGAATTCGTTTACAATAAACACCTAACCAATTTATAGGGAACAAAAGAAAAGAAGAAGAAGCAATTTTCCTTTTTCTTAATAAAAAGGAAAAGTTTTTAAACTCTGGACATGTGCTTGTCACGTGCTTCCCTAAACTAGGCAATTTACGCTTTTCTTTATTTTGTAGCAATTGGGAAAGGAAGTAGGCATGACCAAAAGCTAACCTTAACCGTATTTTTAACCGTAACCGGACCGTTTATCAACTGTAACCGTATAAAACGGTTAAAAATTGTAACCGTTAACCGTAAAAGTAAATTAGTTACGGTTAAAAAATAATAATAACCGTAACCGTTAATTAACCGTAATCATAATTAACCGTAATTAATCGTTGGTTAACCGTACGGTTAAACGCTCGGTTAACCGCATATTTAAATTTTTAAAATAAATTATATTATAACTGTATACAATACCCAGATTTAACTAATTCACTATAAATAATTGAAATCAGATATATTTTTTACTTGTAAAATAAATAATATTTCATAAAATTTTATCTCCAATATTAATATTATAATAATCATCAAATAACCGTAACCGTATTTAACCGTAACCGTAATTAACCGTAACCGTATATAACCGTAACCGTCTTAACCGTATATATAATGATTAAGGTTATGGTTAAAAAATTATAACCGTTAACCGGTGGTTAATTAACCATAACCGCATTAACCGTAATCGTGGTCATGCCTAAAAGGAAGGCAACATTTTTTCCTTTCTTTGGTTAAAGTAGTTTTTGGGTCTGCTGTTTATACAAGAAAAAAAAAGAAAGGAAAGAACTATTGGGTCTTTGTGGATCTCGGCCCATTAAGATATGCTAACAATTCAAAAAATGATTCCTCAGAAAAAGAAAAAAGAAATGGGAACAAGGAGATGGAGGGCACCGCCGTAATATAGATTATCCGGGAGCAAATCGGACCTGAAATAGAAGATGCGCGAAAGATAGAGAGAGGTAGAGGTCAAGAGAGATAACGAAGAAGAAATCATAGGTAGACAAGGACCAGACGATGAACGAAGGCTCGAGCGAAGAAGTGACGAGGTCGGTCATGGAAGAGAAACCAGAACAGCAGCAGAGAGGATCTCTCGAGAAAGGAAGATCGTGCAAAGGCTATCTCTATTACTCTTCCACTCTCAAATCCAAGGCTAAGAACCCTCGCTGCGTTGGAATCCCTCGCACTCTCCGTCAAGGTATTCATCTCAAGCTCGATTTTTTTAGCCTTGCTTGATCGCTGAGTTTCTTAATTTTTTCCCAATTTGGTTATCTTTTGATAAAATTGAGACCTGTCTATGCCTGCTTCTGCTATATCAGTGTTGTTGAATCTCTTCCTGTTACTGAATTTTAACCTATTTGCGAATTTGGTTACGGCTAGGCCAGGATATATTATATAATTTTAACCTAACCTGTATGCATTAGCTATACCTTGTTCATTGTTATCACGAATTCTTAAGAGAGATGTGTTTTTGATGTGTGTTACTACTACTCTCTTTTTTTTTGCATTTTTCTTTTTGCTCCCATGGTTTCTGCATTCAGTAATGACATTTCATAACTTTGTAGTTCCTGATTACGTTGTTGGACAATCTGAAGCTGAAGCTTCTAAAGAAGGGAGGACCCTAGCAGATTTTTACTATGGCTGTTTGGGGTATTCCGTCTACATGACTGATAAAGACTCAGCTGCCATTAAGCAACATACAAAGACCCAACTTCCCGTTTGTGTCGGCCTTGAGGTTTTTCATTCATATCCCTTTTCTCGAAAATGTATTACATTGCTTTTGGAACTTAGATATTATGCCCATGGACTTTCATCCCAATCTTATTATCGATTGACTTGGTTAGGCTGTCTGGTCAATCTATTTAGTTTCTTTCCTGCTTGTTTTTACTGGTCCATGAGTATATGTATGCACTATTTTGAAGACAATGGTCATCATCTGAAAAAGCTGAATACATAATAGAACTTGATAAACTTCATTTGCAAGGAATATGGTCTACTTGGTACAGTTTGCAATCTCTATTTTCTCCATAGTCCATAGAACTTTCTTATGTTCATTGCAGATACTAGCAGATAGAAGAGCAGCATCTGGCAATACTTCATCTGTTCCAGCCCGTGTTCAAAATAGAAACGGTACATTGAATCTACTCTTATTCACCACGTTACAACAATGAAAAACTGAGTCCTGCCTCTTATATGCTCATCATTATTTTCTATTCTGTAGATTCTCGGGATTTGCCTCAGCAACAGAACAATAAACCAGCGCCAGCCACAAACACAGAAAATGGCTTCTTAACCAGGTAAGCAAAGAGCCTTTTGCGTTGGCTGGAGATAGTCTATCTTTATAATTTGCTTGTTATTGTTTAATGGGTAATGGGATTGGTATTTGACTTGACTTGACTGCCGAATTGATTGCGCAATACAAACCTCAAAGTTAGATAACTCTTGGATCTGCAGTAGTTAGTCTAACTATGTGAGTCATAAAATGAGAATTGCTTATAACACACAATATTCATTTACGTGGGAATGTATCAGGTTCACAAGAAACGCAAGCCTGGTAGCATCAGGGGTGATGAAGAACATGAAGAGAGTTGGTAACTATGTGAAAGAGACTGTGGACGATTCCTTGGACCCATATCGAAAGCGACCAAAATGAAGATAGTTTTTACATTAGATGTGGAGACAAAAAGAAAAAGAAAAAAAAAATATGAAGCACAGGTGACAGACGACAGGATATGAATCTTATTTGACACTTTTTGGATTCTCTTGAATTATCAAAAATAAAAGCAACAAAAAGGAAATGGCTGTATTGATCTCTATATTTAAGCAGGCCATCTCCCAAAGTGATTAGCTATGAGTCTATGACTATGAGGACGTGTACACCTTCATCAGTTTTGGTTTACTGGATAATATTCATAATTTCATATGCCAAAAGGGGTTCACTTTTATTCCATATGAAATCTCGAACGACTCGATTATTAAGCTCTTGATACTAAACGTAAAAATTTGATCTCTTACAACATTACTCTTACTCCTAGCTTCTCCCTTCTCTCTACTCAAATGTTTGGTAATTAAACCTCTCATTACATTCTCTTTTTCCGACAACTTGTTCCCTTTAACAGAGGTTAATTATTAATTAAAGGGAAAAGAAAAACTGAAAACCATAGTCAAGTTTAGGAACTAAGAGATAATTAGCACATGGAGTAGAGTAATTAAAATGGAATATGCGAAGAAAGAAATAAACAAAAGAGCGGTTGAGTTGGGAAACGTGCCCATTTAGGGAAAGACAAAGGCTCACTCACGCTTTCTCCTATCGTCCGTCTGTTTCTTTTGATGGTGCTGAGACGTCTATGCGATTTCCATGGATGGTGACGCCACCAACACAACCTTCATAACGACAATTCTCACCAAACCCATCTTCAAAGTTTTATTATTTTCCCCTTTCTCTCTCTCTCTCTCTCTCTCATTGCATGCTTACCCGATTGGGAAACTCTTGTCATCCTTATTGATCTTCTTCCAAGAGCGATTTTCCCGATCCAAAATCTGGGTCGATAGAATTCTAAAGGTATCAATTTTCAGAAATTTCATACATTCGGATGGCTGCTTACGCGAATTATCTCCGGCTGGCACGACTTGGAACTAGTTCAGGTGTAAACCTGTCGACCCTCAGATCAATCGGTTCTCCAAATCCGACATTTGACAAGACTCTGTTTGATCACCACGAGATTCGTTCTTCTTCTTCTTCCTTAGTATCATATTCCGCACACAGACGATTCCACGCCAGATTCATATCTCAACTTATCAAAACCAATGGGAAACGTTTGTTTCTTGTCGACACACTCGCCTTGGTAAGAACTACTAACCCTTCCTCACTTGCCTAGTGATTTGATGGATCTTTTCCTGATGATTATTTTGTTTCTGTGTCATCATCATTGCTTTGAATTGTCTTATCTCTTGCTTCATTTGTACCTTGTAGGCAACGGTTGTGATGAAAGGATTCATTTTTCAACTTGTGTACCTTCTTCCATTTTTGAAATGAGACAATAGAATATAAAAGTATGACATGATATGTAAAGGATCCAAGTATGTGGACATTAAGAGTGTTTATGTCATTAAATTAAAGCAAGATGTCCAAAGAGAAATGTATGTCAATGGTTCTATTCTAGACAAGACCCATATAGTTCCCTAGGATGTAAATGCCTGGTTGTTATTTGTAGGTATGGTCGTAAGAGAATTTGGTATATGATTTTCAGGTTAGGAGCTTAGAAGCTCAAGGCCTGCCTTCAAAGCAAGCCGAGGCAATAACCGGTGCTATAACTGAAGTTCTTAACGATAGCTTAGGAGTTGTTTCCCAGTTGGTTGTCTCTAAGGGAGAGATGCAGAAAGTAAGTTTCTATTGTGAAAAGGCTCTGTTGATTTATCAATTCCAAAGATTAAAGAACCGGTTATAGCAGCTTAAGTTCGGTCTTAACTTTTGATCTTCTTGCGTCTGGTAGGCTGAAATGACGCAGGAATCAAACTTATCCAAGTTCAAAAGTGAGATTAACAGTTCACTCGTAAGTTGTGTTTTCACTTCTCAGTGAAAATTTTTGTATTTTGCTCTCAATCTGTGAATTACGCGTCAAATGGTTAGAAACCTGATTGAGTTGATAGTGGTGCTCGTGTCTATCTCTTCTAGTGATACCTTGATTCCTAAAGATTGTTGAAAAAGTACTGTTTTGTGTATAGGACCACCATTTCTCTTTGTTGCAACACGAGAATGAGAAACTCCGCAATGACATAGAGCGAATCCGCTCTGATATAAGGTCAGCTCTCCAATAAACCTCTAAGGTTTGACTTGCCATATTATAGACTGGATCAGTGCGCTGACTATAACAATAACATTGCAGACACGAGATTGACAAAGTCACAGCAGGACAGCGGTTGGACCTAAATCTTGAAAAGGGGTCAGAGAAATCGCTACCTCCTTTCTCTGTTTATAGAACAGTAGTTCTTAGGTTTATGTCTTCTAAAATTGTGAGATATGTTTAAATGATGGCGCAGGAGGATAAGAGATGAGTTACAAAATCAAAACGCTGAAACCTCTAACCTTACAAACAAGCTTGACCGTGTCAGTATCTCATCTCTAGCTTCAGTGTGATTTACCTTTTCGTTTTGATAGCAAAAGTGTTAATGTTTTTGTTTCCTGTATTCAATCTCTCAGGAGATTCACACTTTGAGAGCTCAGCTGGAAGCAGCCAAGTACGAAGTAATCAAGTACTGTATTGGTACCCTCGTCTCCATCTCAGCCGTTGGTCTTGCAGTCCTCCGGATCGTCATGTAACTTCTCATACGACGGTGCCGGCTTTAAGACCAACTCATCATCTTTGTTGTTTTTTAATTACGGGATGATAGAAATGTTGGTCTGTGCTCCATATCTTGTTCATTATTCGTATGTTTAATGTAATCTTTTCTTTCTTTCTTTTATGTGAAGGAAATAAAGACTTAACCAGTCTAGTATAATTTGAACCCTTCATGTGTATATAACGATGTTCTTTCACTGAGGAAAGGTTAACAAAATACATACATGGGACAGAGGCAACAAACTTAATGTACGGATAGGTCTCCCTCGTGATATAAACAAGTCGATAGCTCTTAAAAAAGAAAAAACATACTTGACGTTGACGAGAGCTGTAGAGCCAAAGGCTGCGACGTTGAAAGTAGCCTTTGAGGAAGGGCGTGTACTAGTACTGCTATATACTACTGCCTTTTATAAAGTCAATAGATTAGGGGGGAGTTTGGGTGTTGGCATTTAAAAGTTTTATTATGATTTGAAAATACTCATGTAACTAAACTAATCATCGTTAAGTTTAATATATATATAGACGAAACTCATGGAAACGTGAAAGCGAACCAAAGAAATAATGTCAAAGATGAGAAAGTGGCACAGGCACATGTAGCATGCATGGATCAAGGGTCTCTCCCAATAATTTTGGGCACACAACTCGAGAATAACGTCATCGAACCCAAATCTATCTTTCGTAGTCCAACTTTTAAAACCTTCCAATTTTTTTGTGGAATTAGTTTAGTATAGTGTTAAGCTTATTTTGGTTGAAACTTAATGACTAGGGAACTAATTAGAGACAATTAAATACAAAAGCTAAAATATAGTTGAATCGGGTGGGAAATGCTCATCACGTGACTCCTCCACGCATCTCCTTTGGTTTGTCCTCTTATATAAGTTTCAATTACCATCAATTAGGTTAGGTGTATTCATTAGTGTTATCTTCAAAGTATAGCAATTTGGTAAGACATCCTTCGAAATTTCGTTTCTTTGTATAAAAATGTTCCTATGATAAAGATCATAAGTGTTATCATTCACACATTTAGCTTCCATGCTAATATGTATTCCTAGTTTTTGAATAATTGTATTTTTTTTTTTTCCTTACAAGTTTGAGTGTTACGGCATATAAATTATTTTCATGTAAATTCATTATGCAAGTTTGAATCACCGAGAACATGGCTTTGTAATATTAACAAACTTAAGTAATGAAGCACGCAATGGGTGTCGACGAATAAAGCACACCAAGTCTTTAGTGTCACTTTTAATAAAAATTTCGAACGGTTTCATATTCAATCCATGGTCCATATATATGATATATCCATTCAAATGTATTCAAATTGTTATGGTTGAAAAATAAATGATATATGTATCTTTTAACGTAGATATAATAACATTAAAGGAGTTTCAGAGAAAACTGACAATTTTTTTATATTAAACGTTACATGAGTTTTTTAAATTTTAAATCTTGACAAGTTACTAAAAATCTGAAACTGCGACTACCACGAACACTTGTTTGATTATGCTGCACCCATGTATACTTTGTAGTTTGTATGTAAAAGAACAAACATGTGATTCCTTCTTGTAAGCAAAAACTCAGCTAATTATAAAGAGCGTAATTAAGATCATCTCACCTTTGAAAACGGAGACGTTTTCACCATTGTGCAAGAGAAGCCAAAGACCAATGTTAAGATTGGTATCCACAAACACGCATGTAATATGTATGCATCTTCGGCGAGGAAACTTCCCTGCAATTACTTATGCATATTCAAGTATAATGGAAGCCAAGGACGACGAAGTGAAGGTTTAAACTTTTAAAAGATGTGATTCTTCTATCTGATTTTTATTCAACTCTCTTGAAACACATCTCTCATATAAGTTTAAGCCCTCACTACATCATCCTTTAACTTCCACTAAACTTGGGAATGAGTGAAATCAAAGGAGCTTCCTTAAGATGAAAACATATGGTGAAATCATAATCTCTTCTAATTTGTTAATTTGTGAAAGCATATGTTTTTCTTCTTACACAAAAATTATGCAAGAAGCAAATCTTTATATATAATGTTTCTCAAAAGTTGGAGAAATTACCATATATATATTATACGTTGAAGGTTGTATACGTTACGCTTGCTCATTACACGTTTTGTTATGTATATAACTGACGCATTTATTTCCATGCTTGTAATTTATCCCTCATTTTAATTACTTTGGTTTTTTTATTTAGCAATTTGATACGAAACAATATTTTCAAATTCATTATGTAAGTTTGAATTTAGATAATGGCATATGACGGCAACACATGCACACACACACCCACAAACTAGTAGGTCGTAATCTACATTTCCATTATCTTATGATGCAATAATTTGATAAATAAGTTGGTTTTTTTACCTTTGTACATTTATATAGTTTTGTATTTTATACTAGTAATAAGTAAAATCTTATGCAGCATTCAAGAAACGTAGACAGCTAAATAGTCTAAAAGACTAAAACCATGCATTCGATCGAGGAATATATAAGTCCCAAGTTTATAAAACAAAATTACTAATTTACTACTATCTTTTGGTAATTCGTGATGATAATCTCAAAAGATATGGTCAACGAAACTTTAATTATATTGCAAAACAAAATTCGATATATATAAATTGCACGTCACTAGAAGTCGTATTCAATCTCCAAAAATACGCAAAGAGTAATAAATTAGTCAATGTGCGTTTTCCAAAAGTAATTTCAAATTTTTTTCCCTCATTCCCAATCTTATAAAATTCACAAGAGACAATTTTATAAATCTTGGCTTTCCTCATTCAAATATTTGTTTCAAATTCTACCAAATATGGGAGTACAAACCAACTTGTATATCGCATTATGACTAGAAAAGGAACCAACTAGATCATTAAGTAAACAAATCTAAGTGATTAAAAAGTAATTAAACCTGACCGCAGTGACTAAATTCTAATAAACCTACGATGACTACCACGAACAATAATCAAATTTAAACCAAAAAAAAAAAACATAAACATAATGAATCCTTTTAACATAAACATAACTAATGTGAGAATCTAATTGGTGCTAAAAACTGAACCGGGTCGAAAATCCTAAATTATGGTCTAATTTCTTCAAAAACTCGGGACAACCTGAACCGTTTGATTCAAACCGGTTATTTCATCAGCCTCTTCGGAGGTCTCCTTCTTCCGACGCATCTCAATGACTTTACGGTGGTGGTTCGAGTGAAGCTCACTCGAAAACGTCGGGCTACAAGCGGGTCTATATTCGGGGAATAACCGACCCGATTTGTAACGCACACCACACGCATTACACAGCGTCTTCGCTCCCGATGGTCCTGCTCTCCACTGCGGCGTTTTCTGAACGCCACAATGGTTACACCGCCGCGTCTGCGTTTGCGTTTGCGTTTGCGTCTGACCAGCTATTTTCCAAACATTCTTCTTCGTCTTCTTCTGTTTTTTATTAACCATAGGTTCATCAAGCAACTCAGAAACGGAGGAGAGCCAAAGAGGGCTTGAAGGACCAGAAGAGGACGACGACGAGGTTGCAGAGCTCGAAGACGATGACGGCGAAGACCAGACTCTAACTCCGGCTCTGGCTCGTTTGGGCCTGATTTGAACCGGAGGAGGAGGAGGAGCTTTGAAGCAGGAATCCTCGTTAACCGATGGTACAGGATGTCTCCGATTACCGGTTAACCAAACCGGTTTCTTCGTCGGAGCAGACGAATACGGCGTGAAAGAGTCCTCTACGAAATTTGATAACCATTCAAGCTCCGCTATATCATCCATCTAACCCCATATAATAATTAAAAAAAAACAGAGAAATTAACATTTGAATTTACAGATACAATTCGAGAATAAACGAAAATGGAAATGGCGGTGAGTTTACCGGAACGGAGAGCTCGCTGGTGGGGAAATTATCGGCGGTGGAGAAATCGTTACTCCGGTGAAGGGTAATTTCGAGAGAGGGTCCTCTTTTACGTTGTGCTTTAAAGTCAGTCTCATCCTCGTCAACGCGAGCAACGTCGTCGTCGTCGTCTTCGTTAGGGAAGTCAAGCAAGTCGTCGACGGAGAAATCTTCGCCGTTTAGAGCGCCGCCGGTGGTGAGGGTTTTCTCATTCATGTTACTGTTCTTCAACGCCAATTCAACACTCTCCATTTTTCCTATAATCAAAACAAACAAAAAAAACCTAATTTTCTTATAATTTCGTTCCTCAAAGATACCAAAACCCACCAAAAATTTATCTTAAAACTTAAAAAAAACTCCCCCCGAAAAAAAAAAAAAACCGTTCCTTTTAATTCCAATTCAAAACAGAAAAATAAATTTTAAAAAACGAATGGGAAAGCCAGAACCATGATTTTGACCAAGTCACACAAGATAGAAGACAAACAAAAGAGAAAAGAAAAGAAAAAGAGAGTAAAAGTTTCTTCTTTTCATGTCAATTTCAAAAACCAGGTGGATACAATGTGTGAGGAAGAATCTTCTAAATTTACCCTAAAATTGGAGAAGCAAAATTGGAATTTACCTGAGAGGAGACAGAGAGAGTGAAGCCTGAGAAGAGATAAGTCGGTGAAGGGGAGAGAGGAGGAAGAAGAAGAAGGGATGGTGAAGTGTGAATTTAGAAGAGGAGGTGAGTTTGGTAAAGCATTGAATATGATAGTGCTCCCCAACCCCAATGCCCTCTTCCCTCTACTTCTACTTGAAAAAAATAAGTCCCCGTTTCGTTCCTTTCTTTACTTTTCCCAAAAACCAATTTTTCTAAAGCTTTAAAAAAAGGAAAAAAAAGTATTATTCTTTGGTGGATGACTGGAGTAGTTTTTTTTAACCCAACCGGGCCAAAAAAATGTGTACTTTTTGTAAGTCCGATACGTTTACTGAAAAGTGGATAACTAAGAGCTAAACGGTACCGTTTCGCAGTTTTAAGATTACAGTAAAAGTACCATGTTACCCAATAAAACATCTATTTTTGGGCTGGGCTTTTTGAACCATTTTATTGGAGGTAAGTGAAACAAGTAGAGAGAGTAACAATTGCTTTTCTCCTCCCCGTCTTCTTCAGTTCAAAACGGTTTGTAAATTACTCGGCGACTGCTAATGAAGAAGCTTCAAATGCACAGAACACCATCTTCTACAACTCCTACTGCCCATACTGTCAGATTCTCTTCTTTCTTACCTCTCTATTGAATTAATCCTTATATGCTATGCATTAGCTGATTGAGAAACTATTGAGTTAGGTGTTCACTGGACTTGCTTTTAATAGATTATGGTGAGTGAGATATTATGGTAGATTTTTGGCTTGTAGTATGTTTCTACTTGTCGGAACAAATTTCATTTATTGGTGTCTGTCTTACTTTTCCCAGTGAAAGATTCAAAGTCACAGCCTTTACAAGAGAAGATCATAACCATGATAAGAAAATGATATGTAGAATGGGGGAAAAAAAATTTCTAATTAGTCTATAGTTTAACAAGACTAACACTATTGCTTATACTGACAATTCTTTCTTTATCCAATTCTTGCAACAAGCAAGAATCTTTTTTTGGGGATTATAGATATGGGTGTGATTAAAATGTATTATAATAATGCTGCTTCTCTGCTATTTTCCAAATGCAGATTCAGAGCTTTCATTGAGAAGTATCTGGTCTCCAGAATCCTTTTTGGGCACTTAATATTCCTTCTTGGTGTTTAGAGAAGGTTAGATGAACATCCCAATGCAGTGACTTCAACATATTCTCTACTTCTCTTATCACATTGGACTCGTCACGAACTATGAGTTTACCTCCTGGTCTTACTATTCTATCCACTTCGGCCATTACTGGAACAAGGTTGCACCTTTCAAGACGAGAAAACAAAACAGACAATGTTTCTAAGATTGCTGATGACAGTTACTAAATGGGTGGATATGATGAATTAAGCTTTTACCTTTTTCTTAACTTGGAGAAAAGATGATCTGCATGCAAGAGATCGTAGCTTCTAGGGTATGTGCTAAAAGACTCACACCAGTCATGATATATTCCGAATAGTCCCCTTTCGTAGATTATCGGTAGTGTATCTGGTGAATTTATGTTGACTACATTCATTACCCACACCTGCAAGTCCTTTAAAGCTGCTGCAAATCTGCATTTTTACATTGTTAGAAAACAAAAGCTTTAGTTTTGGTGATTGAGATTTTTGTTTGATCATTTTTAATTTTCTTCGTTGATGCTTACCCTCCGTAGACAGCTCTCATGTCCATTACATTCCTCACATTAGACCAGCTGATTCCTATTTCATTCATGTATACTTTGCTTACAACATGTTTCCAATGTTCATAATCTGTAGTGAAATCTCGAGGAGCTGGTTTCCCGTAGATCCCCATTTGAGAGCTGTTTAGCCAGTAAGGAGGTGTTTGAAGCCTACGGGGCCAGTTCACTGGCCACTTGCTTCCTCTCTCGACCGCATTGGTTGGCACTTTGTGCATACATGCTTGCAGGGGCACATACCTGAAATTTGCATTGAAGTATTGATTTTCTTTGTTCTATTATTGCTTTAAGATTTTTCAATCCTTACTGTAACTTTTTGTTATGTTTGCATATTGTAAAATCAATCATACCAGGCAGCATTTGCATCGTCGTTGGTTTTGCACATCGGAGGCTTGTTGTGCTTTCTTTTCTCATAGCATTCATTTGTGGCAGGTTTCTGGTAGATTGCAGCACCAACACCATTGAGCTTATCCTTGTTGATTGTCACAAGTTCCCAGCACAATGATTTTGTCAACGCGGACATTTCTACATAACTCTGAAATGTTAGCTCCAATGAGACAAACAAGAAGGAGAACGTTAATTCAGACCTTACCTTTCCAGATTTGAACATCTTCTTCAAGCTTCTGATAGACCGGAGTTGCTGACCACACAAAATAACCTCCTGGCCTAAGCATCCGATTAAGTTCCAGAAGAAGCATACCTCCCTCATTGTGCCATGGAACTCTGCAACGTGCACAGTGGATAAGATCAAATACTCTGCTTGGGAATGGCAGTCGCTTAGAGCCCATCACCGCAGAAATGGCAGGAATCTTTCTTTCTAGAGCAAACTGGACCTGAGCCTCGTGTTCATCTTTTGGTGCTAGAGACATGGCTATAACATCTCTTTCAAAGAGGAAACCGCCGAAGCTCGCTACTCCACATCCAACATCCAGTATGACTCGAGTACGTTTACCCCATGCAATGTTTTTCAAAGACTGCCATTGTAAAAAAAAAGGAAGCATTATATTCAAAGAAATTTTCTATCTTTACTTGATGCAGTTTTATAACGCTATACTGAAATCAAGAAATGAGTTCACCTGCTGAACAAAATCAATATAATGGAGAGCTCCATGGATGAACTGTGTTCCACCACCAGGAAACGTTAAGAACTCGCCAGTAACCTTCACCCAGTTCTGATGTCCTTTCACCTCTGCTAGCTTTGTGTGTGGGACATTGTGGTACCATATCTACTAGATCATATATGAGTCAAAATTTATATCCAATAATACATTATTTCACTTGAAGAAAAACTTATTTGGATAAAATATTTTACCTTGTCCCTGCTTTCAGGCCACTTGATGGACTCCTTATACCCTTCTGGAAGAGGGACGAGACACGTTGGTGGGTCTTCTGGGCAATGTCTTTCTCTGTGCTCAAAATGTCTTCTACTCCTTAGTTTCATTATAGCTGCTTCGTTGTCTAGGCATGGTATATAGTCAGTACCTGCAGTTACATTGCAGATCACCCATGCATTTCCATCCATTGTACTCTCTACGGTATTTGATTCGGATGTTTGTCTTTGTTTCTCGTCCTTAGATTCTGTTGCTTGACTCTTCCATGACTTCTGTGATTCTGCAGATTCTTTCGGTATTCCAGATCCAAACCCACTCGCTTCCGACCCCTCTTGTATTTTCGCATCTTTCTGCTCTTCTTGTTGCTCCAAGTGATCATCCTTAGATGCGCTTTGTTCTTCTTTGTTTCCGCTTTCATCTTCTGCTGTGTTATGTTCTTCCTGTTGGCCATTTTCATCCTTCATGCTCTTCTCTTCTTTCCCGTTTTCTTCACTAACCGTGTTCTTCTCCTCGTTTTGTTGTCCGTTTTCTTCGTTCCCGGAGTTTTGTCCTGAGTTTTGTTCCTCTTGTTGTTGCTGTCCATTTTCTTCATTCTTTGAGTTGCCTGATGTCTCGCTCTGCCCCGTTTCCATAGGCTGTTCTTGTTTGGTCGCATCTGTGAATGTCACGTCTGCATTTGAGTCCTGCTCTTGCCCTTGTTTGGTTCCTTGTTCCATATCATGCCCTTGTTTCTTTCCTTGTTCGACATCCTGCATTTCCTTCCCTTGTCCTTGCTCTTGCTCTTGAGTTCCTTTAGATTGAGTCCCAGCGTCCTCATCTCTCTGTTCTTTCTGTTCCTTCTCAAACTCCTTGACCACTTGTTTCACCTGACCCTCGTCATTCTCTTGCACCATCTTGTTCTCTTTTCCATTATCTTTCTCTCTCTCCTCGGGAAGCTTTTCATCCTTCTGTTGGTTCTCTTGTTTTTGAGTCTGTCTTCCTCCTCCCTCTTCTCCTCTTGCCTTTGAGCTCTTCTCTTTAGCTGACTTCCGCTGCTCGTCTTCAGACTTTACGGCATCGTCTGGAAGCTTTCCCGGATTGTCTTCAAATGCCGGTTGCTCATCAGACTCTTGTTTTGTGGGTTCGGGTTCATCATTACTGTTTGAAGATGCAGACAGATCACTCCTCTCCGTCTCTGAGACGACCGTCCGAGTGGAACCTTGTGTGATCTGCGGTGGAATAACAGAATTGGAAGAAAGCATCCACACACCGATGACACATAGAGCCACAAAGATGATCATTGTAATGGTCGACGCATACGAAGACGTCGAAGTGCGCTTGTTGCCACGTCCCTTTCCGAATGCCATCTTTCCGGTAATACGTACACACACTCTGAGGAGAAAGAAAGAAAACAAATGAAGGAGTAAAATGGGAGTTGAAGGAAGTAAAAATAGAAGAAAAGGAAGAGAAAGAGAGGTTATGAAGAGACAAGACTGGATCAAAGATCCTACAGAGTCGGACATGGGACTTTCAATTTCGTGTCTCTAAATTTAGTTATGGTCTCTGTGTCTCATATTTTGTTGTCCATGAAAATAATTAAAAGCCATGTAATGCAATACTTACTAACTTGTAAGTGGTAACGCCTAGTCAAAGAAATAATAAACATGGCAATGCCCTTCTTGCTTTGTAAATTATGTATTTTATAAGGTTGTTTAATTTTGATCTTGAGTATATTGTGTTTGGTTAGTATGATCCATTAAAACATATCATTTAAAATAAAAATCACAAAATCTGTTTGATTGAATTCTGTTAATCCGGTAAATTTTGTTCTCTTGTATTGTTTTTGTTTGTTTGTATTGGAATGAACATAAAATATGTTTTGTCTAGCTTTTTATAATGGAATAAGAAAATGATTGGTTCATGTTTCTATTATTTTTCACAAAACTACTTATTTGAGTGATGGTTTTGAGTCTTGAGTCGGTTTTGACTTTTGAGATGCTATTAAAATGTGTTTGCATTAGTGTTGTGGACCTTGAGGTTTGAGGTTCGTAATCCTACGCTTGGTTCGGTTCTTTCCCCCACACAACTCCACTGTCAAGGGCAAGCACTGTCGTTTACACATGTCTTGTGTTTATAGGTCCATTATATATCCCAATTTGTCTCACTCCCGCGTCCTGCTATATCGCAAATGTGTATAGTATATTAATAGTAGTATTTGCTTGTTGTCATCAATGCACCAATTTCACCAAAGGTCCAAAAGACAACCAAATACACTTACAATTTGTTTTGTAAATCGTTTTCTTTTGAGTGGATGAGGAACCTGAAGCCTTTGGATTAATAAATTTCGGACAATGACAAATTTTGAGATCTTTCTTGCTTCGGACTTAGCCTGCATTTTTTTTTATCTCTTTTGGCTTTCTTCTCAATATATAATATTTTTGTTAGGACTAATACTAGTAAGGAAAATATTATATGAAAATAAATTTAGGTTGGTGGGATATATAAAAGACAAGCTGTGGGATACGGCAGGGAGTAAAAGTCGGAACGAGTCGGCCGATTGGACCGCAGCACTATTCGAATGGACCAAACTTACCGATTATGTAATGTTAGTCACGCAATGAATCCCCTATTATTGTATTTGAGAGATTTGTAGCTCTACCAACTCCACAAACCTACAAATTCCCACGTAACTTAACAAATATCGATTAGTCGAATGTATTTTTAAAAGTGGTATTGTCAAATTTAAAAGGCCTCATGATGAATTTTCAAAATCGTATCTTTTCGGATTAACATTTTCTTCGCATAACAAATAGTACTAGTAACGCATTATTATATGTTACATACTTTTCAAGAAATCTGAACTAAAAATTAAAATGTATGAGAGTATGAAAGAAGAAGGAGTTCTTTGTATTTAAATGGGCAAAAAAAGAAGCAGATTAATTGTTGAAAATAAGAGGACTGAATAATAGGTTTCTGTAGCCAAACATGTTCTTCTGAAATTGATGGCAAAATTGCATTCCAATTAATTTGTTATATTGGTTCCACATCCGCCATGAGAATCTGCAAAATCTCTTTTCTCTCTCTCGAATACATGTGTGTGTGTGTGTGTGTGTGGAGGGCTAAACATACTTCTTATACATGCAAGAAATAAATCATTAACTTGTATGTGTGTATCTTATATTTGGACATTAACGATCGAGACGTAATTAAATACTTTATATGATCATTATATTCTTCGCTCTCTCTAACCTCTGATTACTTATGCTTCAAACTTGTAAAAACAATAACTATATTCCATCCACTTCAAAATTATCTATCGTTTGAGACTTTTCATGCAGATTAATGTTTTAATATATATATATCTTCAATTATACTCTTACAAAATTAGGTTAACTTAACCTGACAACATTTGAGTAATCAAAGGACTAATAGAGAGGGTATATATGGAGAAGGAGAAGAATGAACTAATTGGGATTAACGTACATTGTAGAACGCACCCATCATGTCACATCTCTATACATGTCGCACTCTTCTAACATAAATATATATATACTCCATCTAGTCATCTTCTCTGATTCTATCACATGTCAATTATGGCATACATCAATTACTAGTAGTAACTAACAAATAATGATACAATTTTACAAAAAAAAAAAACCATTTAATGCATGGGATGGGCAGACACCATATCATATTCTGCCGAATACGGGAACCATGGTTGAAAAAAATGATACTCCATTAAACTGTTTGTATAATAACATATGTACAACACATTAAACATGTAATAAATTCTTATACTATTGGTTAGAAGAGGAAGAAGAAGACACAAAAGGTGATTTATAAAGATGAGAAACATTATCCCCCGATTCTAAGGTTACGTGTTACACAAACAAGAAACAGACACATTAATGAACCAAAGATCCAGACAACAAAGAGCTATATATCTATTGTGCTCCTAACATTTAAAATAAATAAATGTACACAACACTATTATACATATCTTCACAAAAATCATATAATAAGATAAGACAATGGTATTATTTGAATTGAATTTCCATTTAAAACCCTAAAATTGCAACAACTTTTTGAGTATCTCTAAAAAGGATCAGAAGCATAAACAGACCACTTCCCTCACTTCTGCAAACTTTTTTTTTATATATATTTGATATGATCTGACAATTAACGTTTATAAACCCTAATTCTATTCTAAGAATTCAAAAGAGTTATGTTGCTTTTATGTCAGATTTTTCATCGATCATGATCTTGGGCTGGGAAAGAATTGTGTACCGGCCATGAATGTGTTGATCGGAGTTGGATAGAGAGCGGCTGGATCAATGTACGTAGCTGCCGCCGCAGAGGAGCTGCCAATACCACCACCGAGGTTTGGAGTAGATGAAGAAGCTGTAGCAACCGTCACAGAGCCAGCTGTTATGAGATTCAGCTGCTGAGCTCCACCACCACCGGATGAGCTCTCACCAGCCGCGACAACGTTGTAGCCTCCACCACCGCTACTTCCAGGACGACCGTGGTCGTAGAGAATGCCTTTAAAAACGTGACCACCGATGCTCACGGCTGTTTGGTATGCAAACTCTTCTTCTCCATCTTCTACTGAGCTCACACGCACGCATCTAAACACTGCTGATGAACTCACCTCCGCCGGAAAATTACCAACTTCTAGCCCTAGAATTTAGAGAACAAAAAATATGTAATTTAAGAGGTACGTAATCGCATGTTATTTTCTTATACATTATACATATAAAAATAAAACATTAATATTCAGTTTTTTTTCTTCTTCCAAAACTCATTTTACGGTTTGGTTGGAATTAGAGAAAAGAACACAGATTTCAAGATTGATGAGAACAGCTTGTTCCTGTCAATCCAATAGTCAGTGTTTACTCCAACACAGTATTTTCACAATTATATCACAAAATAAAATAAAAACACATTTATGGAAATCTGATAATCAAATAGGGTTTACTTGTATAGATTGCTGTTTGCATTTCATTATTTCACACGACCTTATAATAATTAAAACTATATAACACACTGAAGTGACATATACCTGAATGAGAAGGTATGCGAGTGCAGACAAGAGAGGAAGAAGTTGCCGGTAAATTCTCACGGTGGCGTTTGGGAACGCTCTCACCGCGAGGCAGCTGCGTTTGAGGATGAACCGTAGCTAGTTGCTGTTGTCTCTCACGGCGTTTGGCAGCAGGAACCCACGTGCTCCTCACGTGAGTAGGACACTCGAAGCCTCGGCTCTTACAGCAAGTTCTACACCTCATGTGAGCACAATCTTTCTTGGCTTGATTCCCACAGTCCTGACAGCTCACACCACCGCTCCCTCCTCCACCTCCACCACTACGAATCATCATCAACCCCGAAGCTCTTCCGGCGCCGGCGTTTGAAGTTTCGCCGGAGATATCGAATTGGCTAGGATTACTTGGTCCAACGCCTAAACCAGCTGCGGAAGAGAAAAGATCCAACCTTTGCTGATGTTGCTGATGCTGAAACATGATCTCTTGCTGGTTGTGGTTTTGCCATAGCTCAAGTGTTCCCAAAGCAGCGTTTGTAGAAGAAGAAGGAGCGTTTGCGTTTGTGTTAGCGTTAGCGTTAGGGTTTCTATACCAGAGCCAAGACTCTGATACAGGCGGAGGAGGGTTAGTGTTGCTCCGGTGATCTTCTTGGTTGTTTCCTCCACCCCCGCCTCCTCCTCCACCACCGTCTAGCGAGAAAAAACCCGCCATTCACCCTCAAAAGAACCACTCCAACCCATAACCACCACTCCCCCCACTCTCCTCCAATCAAGAAAATGAAACAAAACCCAAAATCAAAGATCCTACTTCTTTTTTACTTGTAGCTCACTCTAGATCTTAGAGAGGATGACTACTAGGGTTTTTTTCTTAGGTTTGAATTCATTCTCTCTGAGTTATGTATTGAAGTTGGAATAGCTTTTTGGTTGAGACTCTGATAAAAAGCAAAACTTGTTTGTCGGTACGAGAGAGAGACAGTATTTAAGAAACACACAGAGAGAAGTAAAGAAGTAATAAGAAGAAGAAGGAAGGAAGAAGAGAGATCAGAGGAGAGGTTTAATCATCTTTCTTGCGCTCTGCAACGCCGCCATGACCTTAATAATCTCTTCTCTCTCTCTTCTGCTATCCCTCTAATTTAATTCTCTGTCTCCTCCTCTCTCTCTCTCTCTCTCTCTCTCTCTCTCTCTCTCTCTCTCTCTCTCTCTCTCTCTCTCTCTCTTCTTGTTTTGTTTTGTTTCTCTAGATTTCGCAAAAATATATTTTTGTTTCTATCTTTTTATTTGTTCTCTAATCTTTTTATTTATTTATTTTTGGTTACACTTCATCTCCCATCGTTGATATACTTCAATTTGTAATCCAACGATTGTTATGTTGCAACGTTGCCACAATTGTATTTTTCTCCTCTCTTTGTCCTTTTCTTCCGGGAAACACGCTTTAAGTTTTTTGGGTGAAAATGTTTTAAGATAACTAATAAAAATTTCCTTAAAAGGGAAAATAATTTGGACTAATACTAATTCGTTACGGTATCAGAATTCTATTTTTGATTATCCTAAGATAGTTCTATATTTTTGGGACCTATTTTAATTAGACCCTCCTCCTCCTCCTAATCATCATCTAGTAGAACTGACTACAAAACCTTGTCAAAAGTCTCATAGGTCCATTCCTTTTTTTTTTTAATTTGCAAATGTGAGACTTCTTTTTTAATCGGAAAAAAAAAAGTTGATTCAAGGTTTCGAAAAATCCTCAGCAATAAGTAAACACTGGATTTAAAAGCGAGTAACTATAGTTAAAATGCCAATTATCGGCATTGATTAGTATTTCTAATTATCCATATGCCCATAATCTTTTCTTATTTTTATAATAGTATCAATTTGTGGGTGCACCTGTGGCTTAAAATTGAAGTGTCTAAAGTTTTTGTAGCTGGAAAGCAAAATGCTTTTGTCCATGTTTCCGAGGAAACAAGAAACATTATGATATACACACACATTTATGAATACATTACTTGTAATATAGTATTTCACTAGTATATAAAATTTAAAAAAGATGCACGTAAACATACTCTCTTTTGTAGAGACAGACGTACGATTCTATTGAGGTGTCCTATGTATGTTATAATCATTATATTTGTATAAGTATTTATGGTTTATACGATTATATACAGACAAAACACAACTCAATGCCCGTGCCGTGAGCATCATGGATCCTAAATATTATAATTATCATGAGTATTTTTTTTTTACTTATATTCTCGAATTGCCCTGAGAATAACGGCACGAAAAATTATGTCCGAAATCTAAAGTATGTATGGGTAGCTGTTAAACAAAAATTAAATAAAAAATGTTAGGACGTAAAGATTAAAAATGAAAATAAAGATTGGGACGTGTCTTTATAAAAGAATTTTGCCAAAAAGGTAGAGAGAGTTGACTAATGTAGAAGAGGTTAAATTAGACATTTCAAAACTAATTAAGATTCAAAATGGAAAATTATTTTTGGTAAGAAAAATGGAAAAAGAAATATAAATAGTGAATACTGTAGTTTTTTTTTTTGTGAGACAGAGAGGCTAAAAAAGCGCACCGCCTCGCCGCCCTATGCTTCCGTACCGATTCTTGATTTTCTGATTTAGCCAAACAAATCCAATAATGTTAAGTTAATAATCGAATGGTTTATTATTTTGTAAATAAAAATGGTTAGGTTAGGTTTTTATTCAGTGTATGATATTAAAGGAGAGTATATGTACATAGTATATAAGATGAAATAAGAGAGGGGGGAGGGGGTTCAATTAATTCAAGTGATGGATACATTACAATCGAGACAATGACCTTTTCTCACTCACTCACTCTCTCTCTCTCTCGTAGTCTATTCTTTTTATTTGCTACGTTACAAATCTATAAATGTCAAATAATTCTAAAACATCATTTCCGAATAATAGCAGAACCAACCAGCACCCAACACATATTTTACATAGTTTCACAAAAACAACTTTACAAATGTTTTTTAAATGAAATTTTAAGAGGGAACTGATCATGAGAAGAAGCCCTATGAATTTGGAGACTATCACGAATCTTAGGACGTTATCACTTATTTACGACACACATATATATACATTGCACGTATGCCTAAAAAAGTATACGTGCATATTCATTCAAATAAGTAACAAGAAGCAGTTTATAGGATAACCCAAATTAACAAGAGATCAAGAGAAGAGATGATAAGACTCACGTCGTGGCCACTCTCAGCTGCACGCGTTTTCAGTCGAACCACTCTTTTGGTTTCTCCATATAAACATTCTCTTTTCTTTTCAAAGTAGTTGTTTTTTTTTTTTGAAACATTTTCGAAGTAGTTGTTGTTATATAATAGTATTATTTTGGGGGTACGTACAAAGTGTTTTTTATATATAAAACAAAATTGCTTATCACTCAATTCTCCAGGCCCTTTCTGTCAATCAGTTACTCCAAAATCCAACAAAAGTTTTTTTTAAAAAATATTTTTCCCTCAAATAATTATGGTTTCAAACTGCATGGAGTTTTAATTTTGTGACAGCTTTTCTTATATACGAGATACGACAAATCTTATGATCTAACAATTTAGTTCTGATAGATGCACATTGAACACAAAAAATGATGTAAAAAACTAGTAAATTAAACCTAAAACCATATGGTTATATATAAACAAACTTATGATAATAAGTAAAAGGAATGAGAAATTAAAAAGAAAAAAAAAAAGATAAAAAGATATAACAAGTAAGAAGGGATGGTGGGAATCAGAGTTGACGTGGAGGAGAAAAGGAGAGGGGAGTGAATGAATGATATAAGAGAAGAGTGAGTCCCCAAAAAAAGGGTAGAAGCCGCAGAGTCTTGTCTCTTCTCGAGCCCTGTGTTTGTGTTACTTGTCTTCCTCTCTTTCTCTTTTTATTTGTTTTTATTCTATTTTCTCCCTATTTAATTCTCTACATATATATACGTTTACGTATAGTTTACCATCCAAGAGATCGAGTAGAGAGACTTTTAGTTTTAACAACACTCGACCATATGCTTCGTCACTGACTCGCAACTTATTACTCTGAGTGATCTATCGTGATAATGAAACTAAGTTAGGGTTTCGTTTTGGAACGTATTATAGTCAAGTAATTATACCAACCCTATTTTGTTAAACCAATATATATGTATAAAGGTGGCATGCATATACTTACATACGCATTAGTATTTGTAGATCATCATTTGTTTTGGTTTTTGAAGCATTTATTTGAAGTGTAGTGTATAGAGAGAGAGAGAGAGAGAGAGAGGTGTTTTTGGAGTATAGTGTTTGGTGGCTTCTCATCACTGCTACTTAACAGATCTTTCTTACAGAGACAGGGAGAGAACAGTGTTTCTACAATGAGCCATGCTTTCACTGTCATCTCATTTATTGCTCCCCTCAACCTCATCATATCCATGCATTTTTCTTCTAGCTATTCCCTTTCAACATATAAATAAACAAATTATATATATATATTAGGTGTGGGTTACTTTTTTTCCCTTTCATATTTTTTGTTTCCAAGGCAAAAGCCAAATACATAAAAATGAGCTTTTTAGTTTCTTACATTCTCTTTGGTGCAAGAGTAGTTATTGTAGACAGAGAGAGAGAGAGAGAGAGATGATGGAGAGAATGTAAAAGTTGCAAACTTGGTTTAGTTTCTGTTATGTTCTGTTTCTCTCTGTCTTCTCTCTCTCTCGCTTTCGTTTCAATTCCATATCTAATCAGAAGCTGAAAACTTCTTCACATGGATTGTGTTTTTTTTCATTTGGCCCCCACTTTCACTTTCACTTCGTATACACATACATAATTACATATATACATGCATCTCTATTGTGTTTAATACCGTATATTTTCTTTAGAATGGGTATTATAATACAAACCAATAGAATTCTTTTTTGGGGTCCCCAAGGTTTGAAGTTGTAGTGGCGTCTTACCATGTCATCATGCACATGCATACACGTATACCACTCGTTATAAAATGTTGTGTCATTTGATTTTACGTTTCATTAGACCAAAAACTTAATCATGCTTCGATCGACCAATAAAAATAAAGAAAATGAAAACTTTATAACTTGTTATTGATGTGGTTTTCTTTTTCTCAACTCGCATTACTAGACCCACCTTATCAGTTTCTAAACTTATCTTCAATTCAAGTCAATAGTATATTTGTTTGGTACGCAACACTACGAAACTAACCAAGAAAGAACACTACTAAACATATATGAATGAAATGATAGAGAGAAAAACAACAACTAAAATGTTTCAAATTGACGTAACTTTTTATTGTCTTGTATTATTATTACGATCGTGATTGGAAAATTCATTACGTATGTGATTTAGTGTATTTTTTTGCGGCTCATTACTCTATATACTAACTAATAGTTGATGGATATATGTCATTTCAAACATACTTGAATGTACACTTTACACTTTTCTGTTACAACGATCTTAAATATCATGATGACTATATCATATCCTGTTATGGTTAAGGTCATGATTCAAATCAAAACACGAGTTTGCTTCTTTGACAATATATCTTTTTCAGAGCATTTACGGCAATGTTTGTTTGCATCTTGTTGTTTTTAGGTGTCTCTAGAGGATGGATACATCATACATGTTGAACATATATAGATACACGCTTAATAGTGATGGTTACTCGACTATGTTTGAAAACACGTACCGAGCCAACCCAAACGAAATCAAATTGGTCAACAA